GTTGTGAAATATACAAAAGCAGAACCCTGCCCTTAGCCTCCAGCAATGGTGGGTAGCCATTGATAAGGCATCAAAGATATCTTAGTAGAAGATACTGGGTTGTTACTGATTTCTTGAGTTCAGGGCTTCTGGGCTGGTACAATTTTTTTTAGAATTCAGCTTGACGTGCTTGCTATTTTACATATTTATTTATTGGTTAATGATGTTTGTTTTGGTCATCAAAATATTCATTTCTGTACATATGCATCTCTGGAGCAAAAAGAACTTGCAGATTATCAAGCTATCAGTTATTTGTAATTCCCTCCATATGTATATGTAGTCACAATAACATTTTCAGATTTCTCACTAAAAATATATCTCTTTGTTAGTGATGAAGGCCAAAACAGTTGCTAGTGAAAAACAAACTTTGTGTTTCAGTTTCTCAGTTCAAACCTACAGTTTTTACTATGTAATGTGCTATTAACTCCTTCATGATCCTGCCCTGGCATATCTTAAGGTGCTCTTGACCCCTTAATTAACCATATGTAATCTTATAGGGGGTTGGAGGCATAACATTTACATTTACCGCATACAGCCCACTCCTCACATTTTAAGATTATTGGCTGGGTTAGTCAGCAAAAAAAAAAAGAAGGTTAACTTAATAGGCTAATAAACCTAGTAGGTGAGTTAGGCAGCTTACATGGGCTTTTAAGGTATCTAAAGAGCAGTGTTTGCTAAAGACAAATTGTTCCACTGAATAATAATTGTTCTTGTGGTAACTTACCTTGACAGCTGGTGATTTTGTTACAAATAGTTAATGGTGATCAAGTCCTGGGACTCATGTTGTGAAAAATCGTGAGTCCCGGTCCAGAACTAGTGAGTCCTAGTTAAAAAATAATCGAGTGTGAAATTGAAAATGCTTGGGTCTTTATGCAACCAGACAGTTAATCTGAAGACAGACTTCAGAACTCTGTATCACAGTGTACTGAAATTAAAATATAGTCCTTCTATTTTAAAGTGCACCAAGGCTAAAAGAGATATGCATTGTTAGACAACTGCCAATGAATAACTGCCACGGAAATTACTTGAATGGGCCTGATATTTCTACAGATACAAATGTTCAGATCGACTGATTGATCTTTGCCTATGGGATGCATTCCATGATTTATTTTGTGCCTTTGTGGATTTTTATGCATCAGCGACGTGGGATGCAGAGGTAACAAAATAACTAGACAGCATGATTTTCTTTTACAAGGTGGAGCAGGAGGAAAGGGTACTTGGGGAGCCATTGGTGAAGTTTTGGATGAAGATTATTTCAAGATCCAAGACCAGCATGATCCAAACTACGAATCAGAGGAAGATGAAAATGTAAGTAAAATTAATACACAGAGAAAGGCTTGAAAAAATTTGTGGCCCAGATTGAGTTGTTTATAACAATGTTTTTGAAATACCAAAAAACAATAATAATAAACATTTATTGCTAAAAGTAGAATCCTAGGAGTTGAGAATGTACCCTTTTTGTGTCTTTTCATTAAAAGATTTCTGCGAGGGTTGCACAATCTAAGAAGTAAAATGTAATACGGCCATTTACTAATTACTTTTAACTGAAACTTGACTTTGTAAAGCAATGTCTGCTCATTTGAAGGTATTTTATATTTTCCCTATAGGAACCTTACGAGATTGAAATGTGTAAACCAGAGCTTACAGAGGAAGAGTTTAGCAAAAATATCACGCCCATTGTTCAGGTGAGGCCGCAAGTTTTAGTGAATTCGACGATTTTGAGTAGTGTGTAATGCAATATATGACACAGTTTGTCTTGTTTTGTCCAGGAATACTTTGAGCATGGTGAAACTGAGGATGTCTTGGTAAGTACTGTTCTTGTGTTCATTGACCTGCAGGCATCTTTTAATTAATTCTGGTGAGTTTGTTACTTTTGATTAGGAGAGCCTTGTCACACGTTCATCAGAACGCATCCTAATCTAGTGTTCCTGTGGCATAAGGGCAGAAGTTTTTGAGCTATCACGGGTGACCGCTGATTAGCTGCCCCTATTAATTTTATCAAGGGCATCTCTGTTAAAGTTAACTTTAACAATGTGATTTAAATAAAACAATAATTATTTTAAAAAAAACAAAAGGGCATCTCAGCTGCAGGAAACTGGACTGCTTTGGACTCATTTTTGTTTCCTTTCGGCTTTAGTCTCGTTTTCATGCAGATGTCATGCTTGTAGAATAAGACGAACACAGATCCATAATCAATAATTATTACTTAGTAATAATTTACCAGGGATTCTCAAGAGCTAGTGTTTATATATACATCATCTTGATTTTTGGCTATCTCCTTAATTTATATATTTCATATCGACAAGAGTTTGCATACTGAAACTTGATGTGATACTATAAGCTGCTAAATAACTAGGTGCTGAAAGTTTTGGATGACCTTAGATTGTTTTATAAGTTGTGACTGGAAAATAATGTTTTTTTTGTGACTTCCAACCCAGCAAGTTTAAAGTTGCAGGGATTTTGTACTTGCAATTTTAGTCCTATATCATGTATACTTAGTATTCTCTAGATGCCATAATGGTGAAAGGTCAATTGTGTATTTGAACTATATTTTTGTCCAGTATTTTGTTAAAGTGGTAGTCTGTTTTAAAATGTCTGTTCCTGAGATTTTTTTGTGTTGCAAACTGCAGATGTCCCTTGCAGAACTTAACATTTCTTCAAGAAAATATAAGGTCAGTGCAAAAAATAGAAGTTAGAACTGATGTTATGATTTAAAGTTTCAAGTGATCAACATATTTTCCTGGAAAACTTTGACTTTGAAAAGATTTTATATTTATATTGATTATTATTATTATTATTAGTTTCCAAACCAACTGACTTTTAAATCACTAATAAGCCGGACAAGCTTTTGTTGTTGTTCTGTTAATTAGCCCCACCATAACTGGACATATTACTCCTTGACAAAATGATTGAATGTTTAAATTAACACAGGTTCCTGCTTTGGCCGTTTGCCTTGCACTGGAAAAGAAGGTAAATAAATCCTACTAGTTTTAACATCCATTATGGTTTAGAACTACAGTAGAACCCCGATAACTCAAACTCCCTGCTAACTCGAATTATGTCCAATTTCCCTTGGATTTCACCCCACTTTTCAGTCATTTTTACTCAGTTAACTTGAACAAGGATAACTCGAATTCCCGTCTAAGTCGAACCAAATTTCCTCTCCCTTGATCAAAGATTCACTGAAATTTACCTCAATGACTCAAATTCTGGTTCTAATGTAACTCAACTCGGATGCCATCCCATTAGCTCATCTTGTTATATAAGGGTGAAAACACTAAAAGTAACACTGGTCAACACTACAGCAATTCAATTTTAATTGGTTCAACAAACAGATCTCGTTTTATCATAAAACTGGTCAATTACGTTACCATTTCTAACGTTCGAAGTAAGTTTAATTTGCACTGCACTATACACCAAAGTGCTGAAAAATCAGTAACTATCAATTTTTAACATGGCACATTGAATTTTGCAATCGACCCATTTCACTCGAACCTTCGCTAACTCAAACTAGTTTTCATTTCCCTTCAGAGTTTGAGTTACTGGCCAGGGGTTCTACTGTATTTTCGTTTTCAGAGTTCATAGTTTGTTCCAGGAAGGGAGTGTCGGCTGAAAGCTTGCTGGCAGAGTAATGTCCAGTAATGCGTGGATAGCTGAAAGATGCCAAATAGGGTTGTGTCGCATATTTTAAAGGAACAAGCAGTACAAAATGTTTTTTTCTGTTGATTTTTTGCAAAACATTATGGATTGTTTAGAAAAGCTTGCTACTTGGCTTGTTATGTTCTGCAACACTGAAGTTTGAATTGCCACGTTTTGTTACAGGGAACACAAAGGGAAATGGCATCTGTGTTGATATCTGATCTTTATGGCAAACACCTTACCCAAAATGACATTGCAAAAGGTTTGTTTTCCAATATTATTTACAGTTAGCTCTAAGATAAAAGGTAGCTGCAGGCAATAATAAGTTCCATCTTAGATAGGTCCATCTTATAGCAGTGTTCTCCTTATCGGGCGGTAACCAGTAAAATTTACCGCCTGAAGCAACACTTCTTACCACCTGCAATGGCTTGAAGGTCGACTAAAATTAAAAAATGTGAAAGTTGTGATGTGATCCACTTCTCTCAAGGAATGAATGAATATATGGAAAAGTACTTAAGTATACACAGTTTTTCTATTTATGGGCCATGCATTTTGGAAAGAGAACTCTGAAGAAAGAGTAAAATTATTGGAATTAAACGTTTTAAATTGTTGTGTAAGTTAACAATGGCCAATTTGTGTAAAATAGGTCTTAAAGTGAGGGAATGACATTTCAGAGAACGTAGCTCCAGGATCATGTCCCTCACTTTACTACCCCCCCCCCTCCCCCCCCCGGAAATTACGCCTCTGTGGTGCATATTTTTGGCCTTACTGGCCATGAATGGTCCCTTACCCTCTGAGCTGAAATTAGGGATAACACTGTTATAGAGAGCCAAGGAGCATGGCTGGAGAATGGCAGTCAGGCCAAGTTTAGGTGTTTGTTTTAGAAATAAGTTTCTTCCATGGAGGTGCAATTTAGTGGTAAATTATTAATTTCTTAAAATTCAACCCACGTCTCTCCTTTGCTATAAGCAGCTTAAATGTTATACGGCAACTCATTACCCCCTCATGACGTGGTTTATATTTTGAAGACTTAGTTGAAAATTACACATCAAAATCAAGCTTGCAATGTAATAAGGGTTCACAGATAAGTGATTTTAATATGAATTTATTAGGGTGTAGTTATCAGTTGGTGAAACAAGACTGATATTTTTGTGGAATTTTTAACTATTAGGATTTCAGCAGCTACTTGACGATCTTGATGACCTGTCCTTGGACACTCCAGAAGCCCCTGAGGTTAGTTCCAACCTGCACATTAATAATTTTATAACTGTAAAGTCATGAGTCTGTGTAGTTGAAGTTTGCTGAAAACTGATTTATGAGGGGTAGGGTGGTGGAGTTCCTGGATCCACCCCTTAAAAGTGCTGGTAGCTGTAGTATAATAATGCTTATTTATAATTGTGAGAGAGGCCTACTTAGGATTATTATTTTTTGGCTTTGATTTGCATGTGAAGGTGCTTGGAAAGTTTATTGCTCGTGCTGTTGCTGACGATTGTCTACCACCGGCTTTTATCAGCAATTTGGGCGATACTCCTGAAGAGTCTAATCAACGGTAAGTAACTGTTGCAACTGCTTTTGTAATGGTGTAGAATGACGAGCACTCTGATCTCGAGATGGTTTGATTTAACGGTTAATATCATTGTGAACCTGGTAAGCATAAAGTGCAGAGCTTGAAATTTCGACTGATACTGTTGCCAAATGAGACTAACATTTTCTCCTTGCCAACTAAAAATTCAGGTTTAGTTACTACTTTCGCGACCAGATTTCTCTATGATTTACATTTAAATTAAAAGAGTAAAGTTAAAACAAACATTTCATCTTTTCTTGCTTTGTTGTCGTAAAAAAAATGTGCCAATTCGCATAAACAAAGCCAGTTTACCTCCAAATTTATACTGACTCCTGTCCACATATTTTCAAACAATCAAATCTCATAGATTGTGCCATACTATGAGTTGTGTAATTTACATTATGAAAAGAGGTGACTAAAAATTTGTATCTGGTGACTATATTTCTCCAGTTGGTCACCAAAAGGTGACCTGAGGATTTTTTAATTTTGAAGTGACATTTACAGATCATAAAAATTGTAGTCAGATAATCCGAATTCTATAGCTGACTTGAGGTGAATAACAAAATTGAGTGCCACAAGATAGTTGATGTCTTCGTGGGCGACCACCTCTGGAAAGTGACCACCTCCCATAACCGACCACCTATCAATAACACCAAACTTTTCCCAGTCAAATGCCTACAATCAGAACCTCTCATAAACGACCACCTCCCATAAGTGACAGCAACGACTTTTTGGCCTGATGGTTTATTATTTTTCATTGTTTGTGTCCTCTTGTAAGTAACAACCTGACGCATGGTGTGGTCTGTGTTCACTGTATATACACTATGCCGCTCACTATTATGTTAGAGGTCAAATTTGACTTCAAGTTAATTTTGATTTAACCTGCTAGGTTGATTATCAGTTTTCTTTGTCTCCTTTCCCTAAGAGACACAAGAAATTGAGATTCAACCTAGGATGAAAATATTTAAGCTGAATTCAAATTTGACCTGTAACATATATGTGACTAAGAAATGGCATGCAATAAATCATATTCCAAAAATTAGATGTGTCGGAACCTCTTCTTGTTAGAGACACCTGTTTGTTGATTCTTGAGAGCGACCACCCCCCCATAAGTGACCGCTAAATCATTGCATTTTGGGTCCTTGCTAAGAGGAGGTTATTAGAACGTGGCATTACTAGGAGTGACCTTTGGGTTAACCACATAATATTACACTTTAACAGGAAAGCGCTAACTGAAGCAGATCTGCTGTTGAGATTAAAGCATGGAATGGTGCGCTTAGACAGTGTGTGGGGTATTGTTGGAGGACGCCGCCCAGTGAAGCAACTTGTTAAAAAGGTGAGGATGAATTCCTATTGCTTGAGTGTTTCTGCTTCCAACACAGCTGCAGTCTTGGGATTAAAATTAATACCATGCTGCATCCGTGTCAAAATGGGAGTGGAAGCCAGAAATTATTTTTGATGACATCTAACAATATCACCAAAAGTGTCTGACTGGGCAACATGGAAAAAGCTGTGACCCTGTTTTCCACATTTTGACCATGCTGTTCATATTTTCCCAATGTCTTTGCTTTACTATAATACAGTATAACAAGTCACTTTATGAGTGGTCCCAAAATTCCAGATCATTATCAGATTAATATTTTTTATTATTAACTGTATTTTCCTCCTGTAGATGTTGCTGCTACTTAAGGAGTATCTGCATTCAGAAGACGTTGAAGAAGTGAGTCAACATTCTGAATGTATTTTAAAAACTGAAAACATGACTAACTTTTCCAGTTTGATATTGATAAATTATTTATTGCAAAGAAGACACTAAGAAGATAAGACAATAAGACTTGCAAGCTCTGACTTGGTAATTTTTAAGAAGAGTAATGTAATGAAAATTAAAGCTCGTGATGAATGATAAATCCATCATTTTTTTAAGGCAAGTCGCTGCCTCCGTGAGCTGGAAGTACCACATTTCCACCATGAGTTGATATATGAGGTAATATTTTGTTTTGTTGCTTTAACCACCCTACTAATCAGGGTCCGAAATTGCGCCTTCCTGGTCGCCAATGCGACTAAAAATTCAGTCCTGGCGACCAGAATTTCATTGCTGGTCGCCAGCTAGCGACTTGTAAAGCTGGCTGTTATTGTGGACTTTAACGTTCGGAGAAACTTCGAAGCTATTATATCTTACTTTTTGTCCTGCTGATATTTTTTAATTAAAAGTGAAACGAATATTCCTGTAATAATACCTCCAAAACAGCTACGATCAATACAAGTTGTACGTTTCCAAGCCGCCATGTTGTTTTCCATAGCTGAAATACGATAAGTAAGTTATGTACTCTGTGGACTTTTGCGAGTAATGTGGCACAGTTGTGGCCTGGTACGAGACACTTGGCGGCTTGACTCGTGTTTGTGTTTCGTGGTAGTTATGGGAAGAAAATAGAGTTTTGATATGATCATTGCAGTCATGGGCAGACAGCTTTCTGTTCCTACGTTCTAGGTCAGATAGCTTTATATCTCCAAAGAGTAATTTGTGGAAAAAAAATAAGACTCGTACACGTACGATTGCTCTATGGTATCGGAAGCGGAAGTAGTGCAATTTTTGAGCATAAAAACGTCCATACGATGCATCTTTTACTTGTGTTGTAACTTTTATTTGAAAAAAAGGGAGGGGGAATTTTGGCGACCACAATTTGCCCTCTGGCGACAAAAAATTTATACTTGATCGCCAGTTGGCGCCCGTATTAAAAAGTTAATTTCGGACCCTGCTAATGGATAATCAGAAGTACTGTCATCACTTAAATACATATATCCCAATCTTCTCGCAACTCCACCACCAAAAAACAACAGCGCTCACCGGCTAATCCTGCCAGTTACGCAGGCTAGTTCTACAGTAGCAGCCATGGAGAGGAAGCAACAATTTTCAAGATAATTATACCTGTAGTAATTTCAAATTTCTGTTTCACCATCTGTTGGGAGACATTGCTCTGGTGTTGTGGTTCAATTTTATCCTTGGTTTAAATTTTATTTCCCTTTGTTTTAAACTCATTGTTGTAAATTACCATTCCCTAAAACAAAGGGAAATAAAATTTAAACCAAGGATAAAATTGAACCACAACATAGGCATGCCTTGACCATCTATTTGTGTATATGCTCCTCAAAGAGAGATCAAGAAGAAAAATTTATAAAGTTCTTATTACTTCATGGTTAAAAGAAACAACTAAAAAATCTAATCCACTGTTTTGGTTCTAGTCAGAATTAATGATGGCAAAAATTAAAGGCATTGGTCTGTACCTCAAACCATGATAGATAAATGTAGTGCATACCTTTAAAATCTAAGTTGGTGCTGTTCCTTTATAGACTATTATTTTCTTCAAATATTATTTCCTTTTAAAGCCAATGTTACTGTATGTTCTATTGACAGGCCATTGTAATGATGCTGGAAGATGGCCATGAACGAGTGATGTCCTTGATGAAAGACTTGTTTCAGTTCTTCTCAAAGACCAACTTTGTCACCCCAGTCCAAATGAAAAGTGTAAGCTTTTGGACTCATGACAAGATACCTTATATTATTGAATTCAGTTGAGTTATGGTGGCATTAGCAATGCAAAGCAGGCTTAACTTCTTGTTTTCTTAAACTATTCTCTCAGGGATTTGAACGGGTGTTTGAGTCATTTGCTGATATCCAGTTGGATGTTCCACATGCCCATACTTCCCTGGAGAAATTTACAGACATGTGCGCTCGTGATGGAATAATTCCAATTTCCCTGACTTTGAAGGTTCCATCCAGGTATGAAACACAATCAATATCAAGATATTGTTCACCATTCCCTGATCAGAAAGTTATTCGTCTCTTATCAGTATACGTTTAAGTAGAACGTTAATTCACCCCACCCCCACCCCCCCCCCCCCCCAAAAAAAGACGAAGACTTATCAAACAAATTTTATCAGGGTGCACTAACGATGATAATTTTTGGTGCTTTAGGCAGTCTTAGCGTGTAAAAATTGGCCCAAGTCTTTAAAGTTTCAATCCATGTCGTGTCCTTCCATGCTGTCTGTAGCAACACATGACAGAAAACCATGTTGATGCCTAAATATAGCCTTGAATAACAAAACTGGACCATTATGTTTGGAAATCAGTTGATCCGAAGACACATCTTTGCTTTCTAAAAAGAAGGCAAACAGCGTGACAAAGCCCCCTCGAAATCCTTAAGAAACCTCTTCTGTTTTGCTTTGACAGGGGCCGCAAGCGCTTTGTGAGTGAGGGTGATGGAGGACTAGTAAAGGTATAACTCACGCAGCCGTCCACCCAAGGAGCAATTGATGAGCCAGACCTGCAAATGAACAAGGCCTTCTTAGAACAGGGAGATCTTTCGTGGTTAAAATAATAGTCACAAGCCGGCACCTGACCTCTGAATTAGTTTGATTGGTGTGTGGGATAATTAAGTACTGGGAATGTAGACACTTACTGTTTTTCCGATATTCAGATCTGCGAATCGGATTGCCCCCTTATCAAATTATTGTCCTCTGTCTGGTCAAACCAGCGTGCAGACGTTTCTTATTTGATTCGAATCAGTATAGAATTTTGAGAAGGTCTGCCCAAACAGGTTGAAGGGCAGTAAACTGATGAAGTAAATAGGAAACGTATGTGAGCAGGTTATAGATGGCCTGGTCCCGTAATTCTTCACATTCTAAATCAGGCCTGTTTCAAACATCGTGCTAAGCTGGGCCGACTGTAGCTCCGACTAGCACGACTTGGTTTCAGACATCAAATTTAATTCAGTCGAATAGAACGGCTGTTGCCGAAAACAAAACACAAACATAAAGAAACGGTTCAGCAAACTTTTTAAATGTATTCTAACGTGTGTCAGTATAATTTATGAATTGAGTTCGGCACGTCAGCAGCGCGACGTTCGAAAACAGGTCAAGCTACTGTTGTGCCTAAGTCGAATTTAATTCGATCAGTTTAGTTCGGCGCGGCAGTAGCACGACGTTTAAAACCGGCCTTACTCTTATCCTCTCTTCGAATTTTCGGCAAGACACTACGAAACGTTTATCAGGGATTTTCATCTCACACGTTGTTACAATTTACCTTGTTTGAAACAATAGTTGATTCCAGAGTGAACTGCAAGGGTTTAAAGTCATCTCGTTACCAAACCATCTCACCAACAACGAAATCGCCATCAAGATGTCAACTCGCCAACACATAATAACTCTTCAATAATTGACACAGCTTACTTTCCTAGGATTACCTACAGCTAGGATTTTTACTTGTTCGTCAAGCTTAATACAAATCTGTCGATCTGTGCTTTCGATGAGTATTAAGATATGTAATTGTTGGTGGCGATTTCGTAGGTGGCGAAGTGACCGGATATTACTGCAAGCTTGTAGGTGAATGAATTCAGTTTCGGTATTTGCACCCGCTAAAATAAAAACCTAAACCTGTGCCCAAGTGAAAAATACTCTGTTTTTGTACAGGTTGTTAGGGATCATTGTCTTGCCTACGTTAATATGCCTCACGTTAAACTGCCGTAGCATCTTACTGAGTTTAAGTGCGAACAGCGTCGAATTGTGGCTTGGAATTTAAACTTTGGGAGTAACTATTTGAAAAATGATTTAAAAATGCTCCAAGGGTGTTTCTAGATTAATTGTAAAAAAAAAGGAAGTAAACACAAAACTTCAATGGGATAACTAAATGGGTAGTTGGTTGGGAGAAGAAACGTTATTTTCTTGTAATGTAGTTAGTCCGTTTATCTTGGGCACTAGGGAAAATTGCTTCTGTATAATTATTCAAATTCTCATTCTTAGGATCGCTTTGCTTTCTCAGTAAGGATGTGTTTTTCGATTGACTGTTTTTGCGGACTGAAAAGACATAGAAACCTTATTGCAATTTTCTTGTGAGGATCTTTCAGTCATTGGAATCCTGTATGAGTTCTCTTTAGAGAAGTGAAAAGAGAGAAAAAGAAAGGGAAAAAAACTAAAATAACAAGAAAAAACGTTCGGTCAGTCAAACGCGCCATGTTAGCGGCATATTTTTTAGTTGTCTACAGGAAGGTTCTCTTTTTTCAGTTTAATTTAAGTGGTACCAAATCTCAATTACTGACAGTGCAAAATCACTCTAAGTCATAACTAAGTTTTCTTATTCAAACACGTTGTATCTCCCTGCTCGTATGTGTAAACTGTACAGAAACTCTGGCTTTAAAAACTCAATAAAACAAAAAATTCAAACGAAAAGTATCGAGTGATGTTTCTTTACCTTATAAATGTCTCAAAGTAGCTGCTGGCAACTCCAGATCGCCATAAAGGCTTATAAGCTGGAGAGTAACCTTCACGGTCATTTTCAATTCAAGGAAAATTGCAAAACATTTTTTATTAAACTCACAATAACATGCAACGTGCTTAAGTAACTAACCTTCTCTAGCTAGCCGTGGGACTTAGTCCATATTTTATATTTCCTGTAAGCGGTGATCAGCTCGAAAGCTCTGCTCCTCTGTCCACTCTACACTTCCGCAAAAAGCCATTTATTTCTGCCTATTCAGTCCTATTTCACCCAACTTGTAAAGTAAATAAGACTGAAGTGTAACTCAAGTTGACAGTTGGTCTGGCTGTTCTAGACTACGAGTAGTCCCCCATTTTTCCTCAGGGATAGTAGAGGGAGCGAAACGCGAGCGGGCGTGAAAATCACCCCACGCGAGAAAAGACGACACGCGGCGGGGAGAGAGTGTCTCCTTTTCTCGCGTGGGTTGATTTTCACGCGCTCGCGTTTTGCTCGCTCTACTATCCCTGAGGAAAAATGGGGGACTGCTCGTAGTCTAGGCTGTTCCGAATATGATTGTCTTCTTTCCTTTTGAAATTATGTTATTATCCTTAAGTGTCGCTTATTTCGGAACATTCCTTCACGCAAGCCCTAGTAACACCTTTATGGATGAAAATATTTGCTTTCCTTTCTGATTGAACACTCTACGCGAGACCAGAATCTTCCATGATGACGAGAGTCCCTGCCACTTTCAGATGGGGGCTGGAGCTGGTCACTCGATAGGAGGTTGTCGACGCGTGGGGGTACCGCTGGCGCAGAGACACCCAAGGCTGGAGACTGGGCCCTATCCATACTAGGCTAGGTCTTCAGCCATAGATGTCCCGACAATGACCGCTCGGTTAGGGGACACCCAACGAGAATATAGTTCAAAACCACTTAAACATAGCATTGTTAAACGTATTTTAGTATTTAAACAGTAGATATAGGCATATTTTTATCCCCTAAAAATTTTTCATCTGTTCGGATCTCCTAGCTGAAAGTCTAGTGATACGAAAATTATAGGGATCAAAACTTACCTTTTCGAAAATTTCAGCCAGAAAAAAGGCTCCCGAAAATTCTAGGTGACCTTAGGGTAAAAATCAGTTAAAAATGGGCAATTATACCATTTTTTTAGACGTTCGAAAATCCTAGGAGGGGCAGACAAGCAAGAAATTTTGCAACAAATGTTCCGAAAATTCTAGATCTCAAATCGTCTTTCGAACAGATATTTTCCGAAAATTGACGATGGGTGCCCCTGGCGGTTAGCTTCGCTAACCTGCTAACGTTGCTTCAAGCTCATCTGGGTAAATTTTGCGGAAAACCGACGGAACTCAAAACAGCCGTCTATGGCTACGATCCCTTTTGAGTTCTTTCGGTGTCGTGTTGATGTCTTGCAAAGTTAATTTTCACTTAGTACGATCAACGTTGCAGTATTCTGTTTGTAGAATTTAATATGTCTGCTCGTTATTTTTGCTGATCAGGTGTTTATAGATCCTACGTTCTTGGGCATATTCGTCTGCGGTCCTTTGCAGTCCTTTGTGGTTATTCGTACTTTTCTATATATACCTTGTTGGCACTTAACTATTCGCGGGCCTTTAAATTGGCGTTTTGGCGATAATAATAATAATTTATTACATTTAATATAGCGCTTTAACTATTAAAATATTCTAAAGCGCTTTACAATATGTACAAGGAAATAAAAATATATCTACAATAAATGGGAAGAAATAATAATAGTAATAAGAATATTAAATTACAAATTAAAAGCTTTCTTAAAAAAATAAGTCTTCAACTGCACTTCAAAAGAGTCAATGTTCATACAGTTTCTAAGGCTAGATGGCAGAAATAATAATAGTAAAAGAATATAAAATTACAAATTAAAAGCTTTCTTAAAAAGATAAGTCTTCAACTGTTCTTTAAAAGAGTCAATGTTCCTACAGTTTCTAAGGCTAGATGGCAAAGCATTCCATACTGTTGGTCCAGCATGGAAAAATGCTCGATCGCCAAAAGTCTTCCGTCTCACCTTAGGGATTACAAGCAATGTTTCAGAATCAGACCACAGGCTTTAACCAGTTCTAGGCTTTACAACAAGTAGTTGAGATAAATATTGTGGCGCCAGGCCGTTCAACGTTTTAAAAACTAAAAGCGCAATCTTAAATTCTACTCTAAATTTCACTGGCAACCAATGAAGTTCCCTAAGTACCGGAGTAATATGGGCAAACTTAGGAATTAAGCATGTAACCCGAGCCGCCGCATTAAGAACTTTTTGAAGTCGGTCATATTGATATTGCGGAAGCTTATACAAAAGAGCGTTGCAATAATCTAAATGTGATGTAACAAACGCATGAATTAAACACTTTGTTGATTCTGCAGACAGATATTTCCTAATTTGCCTAATATTATAAAGCCCCCTAAAAGCCTTACTACACACCTTTCCTATATGAATATTCATAGACATATGGTTATCAAACCATGTGCCAAGATTTCTAACATGCTTAAGGGGTTGAATGTCACAGTCACCAACTTTAATTGAAGCCATGGTAACCTTAGATAACTGCTGCGACGAACCGATGATTAGAAATTCTGTCTTTGAATTATTAAACATCAACCTGTGTGAGACTAACCAAGCCCTAACATCAGCTATGCAGTTCTCAATAGCCTTAATCGCTTGATCTAGAGCAGCAAACGAATTTGGGTGAAACGACACGTACAACTGAGTATCATCAGCGTACCCATGAACTGATGGAAGTGCTTCTTAACAACCTCAAACAGCCTTGATGCATACAATAGAAAAAGGACAGGTCCCAAAGAGGTCCCCTGAGGAACACCATAATTTAAATTGAAGGTCTTGGAGGACTGCTGATTAACAATTACACGTTGTACCCTTCCAGTCAAATATGATCTAAACCACTTCAGAACATCACCGTAAATTCCAAAATCTGATTCCAGGATGTTAATCAGGATGTTATGATCGACAGTGTCGAAAGCGGCACTAAGATCTAAAAGAACAAGAAGAGTTACTTCCTGTTTGTCCATGTTGGAGAGTATATCACTCTGGACTTTAAGAAGAGCCGTCTCAGTTGAATCAAACTGACGATAGGATGACTGATGAACTGGAAGTGGAGCATTATTATCAGAGCAATGCCGGAAAAGCTGACCCACAACTGCCTTCTCAGCTGATTTGGAGACCATAGGCAGATTACTAACCGGCCTGAAGTTCTTATATACTAGTTCAAGTCCCAGATTGTACGCGATTGTAAAAAAAATCGCAAATTTAAAGACCCGCGAAAATAAATCCTCGAGAAATTTAATACCCGTAAATAGAAAATTCAAATGATATTAATTACCTGTAAAAGGTATATGTAATGGGGCAAACACAAATTGCTAACTGGTTTTACTGGTAAGCTCCATTTTGCATCTTCCATTGTGAAATTACCCTGGGTGCCAGAGGGTTTTTTTTAACCCTCTGGCACCCCAGTTTTTAAGGTTCAGACTTTTTTAAAAAAATAAAATGAAGTTGAGAACGCTTGAATAGCGAAATTTAATGCCCTTTTTTAATATTTACGTGTTGAAATCGCGAAAATATGACCCTGCGAAATACTGTCTCCTTAAAACCGCGAAATTAAGTACCAATAACGTTCACGCGAGTTACTTGAATGCCTCTTCGATCGTAGCCTGAGATCATGCCCCTCTCCCTATTATCCCTTTAAGTCTCTCACGAGAAGAGGCCATGATACATTTCTTTGTCGGATCACATGTAAAAAAGCCAGAATCTGGACCTTTTTCTGATTGGATAGGAAACAATACCGATGATTTGCGCTGTTCCAATTGGCCAAAATGCCGCCATCCGTTAGTTGTTGTTGATTTCAGTCTGCATTTTTGCTTGCGTCATGAGCAGTGAATACACACGCGAGTTCGTTATAAAATTTCTGCCGGCTCAGTTTTCTTGAATTTGGAGAATGCCTAAATAGAAATTTCACCCATTGAAATATTTTCCATCTCATCGTATACTAAAAAGTTGCAGTCAAAAATTTACCGATCATTTGAATGCAATTTGATACCGGTTACAAGTTACAGAAGCGACAAAGAATCTTGACCCGGTTTGACTGTAATTCATAATTCCTCCTCAGAAACCTGCGAATTATTCTGAGAGATCTTCGCTTTCACAACACCTTTCAGTTCGTAAAATATGGTGCTTCAGCCTAATTTTTTTTCACTGCTTTCGGCACAGAACGAAGTCAACGAGCTTTAACCAGTAAATCCTTTATTATTGCGTTCGACGTTAGGAGAACGCTTCGTAATCTTTGGGGATCCTGTGGTCGATGGGATACCTGTGCATGCCAGGCGTGAAGATTCGAGATTTTTGGTTACTTGGACGGGCGATGTTCAAAATCTGCGCCATTTTGAATAATTATTAAGCGCGCGCACGAATTTTAAGCCCAATAGCCGGCCAAAAAAATTGCGGGCTCACCTGGTGGACATGCGCACACAACTATTTTTTACGTCATAAGCAATTGTCATATGGCAATCACGTGCATCACTGGTTCCATCAAGGTCAACTAGATGATTACACGGGAATATTTGAGTTCGGCAAAAGAATGAACTTTGGAGTTGTTTTCTAAGCTTGTTTTATCACTGAGCTGATGATTCTGCTAAACTTTTCGGTCAATGCCGTTCAAATCGAGCTGGAACTTCGTAGAAACACACAAATAAAGACCAGGTAACATTTGTGCCGTGAGAAGTTTACCCGTGCGTTTGAGTCTATTTACATATTTGTAGTTTAACCTCTTTCATGCACGAAAAAGTAAGCTTGAGCGTATCAGTGCAGTTTGTTACAACTGTAATGCTTTACTCACGTCTGATATCTCTACGCGGGTAATTTTGCATGATAAGTATCTCGCTCGCTGAAGCAAGCTAAGTTTAAAACATGTTGAACTGACCTACATGAACGTAAAATAATCATGAGATGAAAAGTTTGCACAATGGCAAAAGATTCTGTCCGGTTCTCTGACATCAGTAATCTAGCAGAAACCTAATATGTTTCCGTCGCTCCTATGATCATTGATTTCACTTCAAGTTGTGTCACGCAAGAAGCCAAGACTTTTAACCTTCAAGGCTACCATTTTTTCGAAGTTTGTAGTGACATGTTTATCTTTTTAACAACAAAGAACTTTTTACGATCTACTTTACATTTTTATCGACCATGCTTGAGGGAGAGTAAGACATTTTAAGAGTACAGAGTTAATGAGTGAGATATTTTGAAGCCGTATACGCGAAGAACATTTTTTACGAAAAGAATGTTTACCTTTTAATTCATGATCTCTTCCATGATTTTGAAATCAAGCTTGACGACACAAAAGCTAATCTGGAGCTAAGAAAACTCGAACGCACTTATTGATCTATGATTACTACTAGTTTGTAGCTGTTAAATAAAGGTACGGCAGCTCCAGCTAGCAGTATTTGAACACATTTAAAATTCTTTTTAGGAAGAGCCATATGAACATGGACGTACTTAAAAATTTTCTTTTCCCTAAAATTGATTTCAAAAGAGAAATTATTCGCGCCAAAATTTGATTCCCATATGGTAAACGCTTATTGGCAGGATGGGCTCCTGTTATTGGCTAATAACATGACAGGTCAAGGAGACGTTAGATTATGTAAATTAGGGGGCGGTTAACGGCTTGTTAAATGAATGTATCAGGCGTTATTTTTTCCCCTCTCGAGCCAAAGAAAAGAAGCAAAGAAGCAAAAAAAACCGCCTGATCTCAGGTTACTTCGATCGGGATTTCGCCTTCGTAATAGCCCGCGTATAAGAACCTGAATTTTTCAATTTAGCCTAAATAGGTTCTTATATAAATGGTACTTAAAGCAAATTTAGGCTACCGAGGTTCTTAAAATAGGTTCTTATATTTTCATATGAATTTCATCTGAATATACTATATATATTATAAATATCATCTGATAATACAGTATAAATCATTTATTTGTACCATAGAGCAATGCCTATTTAGGCAGTTCAGTGCAGGTACAGCATATGTCCTAGATGATGATCTTAATTCAGCAGTTTCTACCTATACACTTTTACAGCAACCCCACTGATAAGGACCTAACTTAAAATTTTAGCCTAAATAGGTTCTTATGTGGAGGGGGCTTAAAATGAAAATTTTAGCCTAACCGTTTCTTAAAACCCAGGTTCTCGATACGCGGGCTATTACTGTATTCCCACGGCGTTTCACGGCGGAGGGAAGACTGAGGAGAGTAACAATATTGGTCAGCGGAGTTGCGTCCATAGCAACAAAATCGGAAAATAGAAATGGCGGTGAAATGTGGTGTGAAAGGTCCGTGAATGTTTTGCAGGTTTTGACCTAAAAATGGATCAGTTTGGTACTCTTGAACTCGGGTAAGAATCATTTATATTTTCCTAGGACATTGTGGTAAACTGTTTGCTCATAATGGGAAAATCTGACGCTACAATTGCTTGCAAAGGTCTTGCTACATACTTCGCGCGCAGCTGAGTTACCTTAAACTTGACGGACCTTTATATCGATCCAAAATTGTTGTTTTTTACTTTAAAATTGTCTGTTTTAGATTGAACAGTTCATCATTAAAATAATTCAAATATAATGCAGGAAAAAAACGAGTCACACGCCTTTAAAGATGAAAAATGTATAAGATCACATGTGAAATGCATTATGTCCCAGCTGATCAAAAACGTCCACAAGATAATTCTAGTGGATAGTGTTTACCAGCTGCGAAATCGATCTGGATTGGCTGCTTTTAACCTGCAAGAACTCTTGTTCTTTTGTATTATGAAGCTGACGTTAAGATTGAGGACTTATGAAAGTATTTAACTACGGTCTTACTACAAAATCGGATGACGTTCCCTGAAGACTGGCTACTCGAACTTAATTCTTGGTTCGACCCAAATAAGATAGTAGGACATACAGTGGTGTTGATTCAAATGTCTATCTTTTCATGTACTTAACTGAAGAAATTTTGCTTGTTACATGAAAAGTTAAACATTTTAACTGTGCCTTACCCATTGAAAACATATTTGACATGGTAAAATATAATTTTGCACAAGCCTGTCCTAAACAGGGTGTGTAATTTTGTGCGAGTCTGTCCTAATTATAAATTGGGTGTTGCCTGCACGATCAATTTGATTTGCTAGATGAAATTTCTTTGTACTCCAGTATACAAACACAACGACTATAAAACAAGACACCGTGCATTTACTCCTTGTCCTATACTGGGTAATGTGTTGTCTTGAACAGGGTACAGTCAACTCTCTTTAAGACGGACACCTTTGGGACTGGCACTAAGTGTCCATCTTAGAGAGGTGTCCGTCTTATAGAGGTGTCCGTTAAGAGAGAGTCGACTGTATTTATGATAGGATTTTTTGTCCGAAACAGGGTCAGGGTTTCAAACTCTCAGCGGCTCACCCATACCCAAATATTGGTCGAGTACCCCCTCCCACCTGCCCTTAGGTTCTCCAGGAATTTGTCCCTTTCGTGAAGGTGGCTGCTTAATAGAGGTTTGACTGTATAAAGTCATGTCTCATTTTCTAATTTCTCGTTGTTCCTCACCAGGTGGGCACAAGGATATGATGGTTCACCAGCCTTATTTGTTAACAGGGACACCATCTGCTTTGTCTGCGGAAACAATGTTAAGTTTATAAATACAAAAGATAAGAATGAAACAGTTATTCCAAGTCCTGGTGATGGAATTGGTACTCTTGCTGTCAATCCATTGTATAGTAGCTTTGCCTTTGCTGAGCTGAAAAGTGACCCCAAGTTGTTTGTTTATGTTTATCCTGACTTCTCAAGACCAAGAGCAACCCTAGAAGGTGAGTTCTTGCTTTCAATTCAGTGAAAGGTATGTTACACAAATGTCGCCAGACTGTTACTTGTATCTGCTTTTTAACAGAGAAATCTGTTACCATAAACTGACACTTATAAGCCCTCCCCCCCCAGTTATAGGCCCATCTACTTGTGTACCTGTAAACAACAGCAACAAGTTTATTCAGTATTGCCATTTCTATAAATGTTGTTACGGACTGAAATACAATTATAAACAGATAAATTTAAGGAAATACAGATATAATTGAATGGTATAAATGAAAAATACATCCAATTATAATCCCCCTCAGATATAAGCCGCTCTAGATATAGCCTTCCTAAAACACCTTGATACGATGGTGTATAAATTCCTGGGCTTATAAGTGGCAGAATTCAACTTACTGGGTATTAGCATTTTGCAAGCCATTCAACTACTGAACTAGGTGGAAGACTGGTTTAACCTGAGAAGAGATTTTATCCACAAAGTGTTTTGGCCTTTTTTATTGTGCTCTGACTTCAATTTTTCTCTGAACAGTGAAATTTAATTAAATGAATGCATCAGGTCTTTAAAATAATATTTTCACATGCACTTACTGGACAGGGTACATTTTTTTAAGACTGAAATACTTAATATACTTTATCATATCCTTGCTAGGTGGAGCAAGACTGAGTTATACCTGCATTGCTTTTGCAAACAACAGTACCATCCTAGCTACACATTCAGGCATTCCTGACTTTCAGCTTACTATCTGGTATGTTTTAATACTAAGGGGTGATCAATAGATTTTGTATTCCAAGAATGATAATTGCCAGAAATGAGTTTTAAGACCCTTGGTTTAAAATCTAATTATAATATTGGACCAAGTGTTGTTGATCATTACCAGTGCACTGGACTTAGGTCCTCTCAGTGAACAGTAATTTTTGCAGAAATTCAATGTCAAAGTTTGCAGAATTTTATGGTAATAAAAGTCCAATTTCCAAACCTTCTCCTAAGGATTTCCTTTGTTTTTAAAAGGTGAAATAAACATGTTAAATTTTTATCAAAACTTTCAGGAACTGGTTTGATAAGGTGAAATTATGTTCTGTCGATGTTGGAAGACAGCTGTGTTCTGGACTGTCATTCAGTCCAACAAACTGGCGTCAGCTATGCACCTTGTCAAATGATGTACTCACTCTTTGGAATGTGGGTCAACTGAACAGAAAATATGCCTTAATGTCAAGGTGAGTAATTTCTAAATTTATTGTTCTTTCCACATCAAAGCTGTCTCTGTCAAGCTCACTTAATATCCCGTTTCACTTTGGAGCTAAGTTGACATTAACCTGAGAAAACAGCCAACATTTTATGGTAAAAGCACACAAATTCCATACTGATAAGGCAAGGGAAATTTGCTTCAACCGATCAGAACACTACCTTAATCTGGGTAGTGACACGTCATCAGTATGGAATTTCTGCGGTCGTTCCTCAGAAGTCATTTAGCAGAGAAACTGGTGATGGTATCAGGAAATATTGGCTGTTTTCGCAAGCTACAACTTGTCATGTGACAAGACTGTTGAGATAGTTTGTAAATCACCTCAGAGTTCATTATGAAAAGTATAAGAATGTTGGAACAATTTAGGTTTCTGGGAAACTGGTTACCTACCCCTCCCCTAAGCCACTATTTTGTCCTAAGTGAGAAGTAAGTGATAATGTTGGCTTAGGAAAGGGGTGGGTGGGCAGTTTCCCAAAATTCTAAATTGATCCAAAATGTTAAAGGTGATACACAGAAGATGAAACCAAGATCACTGCAGTAAGATCATGGAAGAGTAGCTAATGAGCTACTGCTAATAAGAAGCAATAAAGACGCAGCTAAGTTTTGCTAATTTTTACTCCCTGTTTCAGTTCTATAAGGCTACCACCAATTGATGGCAGTCCAGATGATGATGAGTTTGAGGACTTAGATCATTCTGTAAGTCGAATGAGTCATCCAGAAGGATATAGGATAACAAAAGCTGCTATTGCTGGGTTAGTTGGTGAGACAGCCAAAGGATATGAACCAGGTTAGAGAAGACTTTTGTAACATTTTAAGGTAATAACAATAATGGCGAGTGTTGTTGTTCATGAAGTATTTTCTTTTTGCGTGAGTGCTGTAAAAAAATTATCCAACACCACATACATACATTATGTAGCTGTGAGCCTGTATTATTGGTCATTTTGTCAGTGAGTGCCCCATTCTGATACCTGTCAATCGGCCATGGTGTGGATGGTGTATACCACTTCATAAGCGAGTGATAGCATCGTCTTCTTTCATGTATTTAAATATGTCATAACTTGTCTGGGTAAGTTTGTCATTGATAACATATTGGTTTTCCTGTGTGCAGATGGATACTCATAGATACCAGATCTTCTTAGCAACACCTCAACCATCAGGCTGATTCTGTGCATGCTTAACTGCCTTACTGTATATGTATTTACTAGAATAAGCGCTGCGGCACTTGTTAAATAAGGGCGGCGCTTATTTGAAAGTTGGGCGTGACAAAGAATTGTTTTAGCTATGATATTATTTCCTATATTTAAACTAAGAGAATGAACGTCCTTTGATTTTGATATGCAGGGATGCAGTGCTTAAATGGGGTTGGTGCTTATTAACATTTTTCTCCCAAAAGTTGCGCTTATTTGAGGGAGGCACTTAATCAAGGGTGATGCTTATTCAAGTAAATGCAATGAAATTTTTTTATATTTTTTAGGTGAGAAGAAGGAGAGATGTCAGCCAGTAAGTCACAGCTGGACCCCAGATAGTAGGTTGTACTGTGGCTGTAAAGGAGGCCAAGTTATCAGCATTGATGCCGAGACCAATCATGTTACCATGGTTCTCAATCCAAGATTCCAAGAATCAGGGCGGGACAGAACAGAAACTTTATCATTACTAAGGAAGGGAACTATGGAATCCATAGCAGAAATGGATGAAGTAAAAGGTATTTCTCGTTCTCTTCGAATGGTCCTTTCCTTAGAATAGATATTCAATATATATGTATGCATAATCTTGTAACAGAAGAACTGAATGCATAACTGTCTCTGAAAGCCATTAATGAGCTATTGATATTCCTGTGTAAATAAGCACTGGTCAACAAGCAATAAGTTTAAGTGATGAGACTTATAAAGAGAAGACTTTTAAGACTTATAGAGAACAAGATTTCCTTGCTTTCTTAACACTTACCACTTAGTGGTGTGTGTTAAGAAAGCAACTACAGTAGATCCAGTTCTCTAATGATGTATTTTTTGGTACACGCCAGTGAAGATACAATGTGCAGTTCAAGCTTGTACTAAATGTGAACAGAGAAAACTTGGAGTTTGATTTGCAGAAGATACATCCACACTATGAGATAAATTAACACTCTTTTGATATTAATTTTTAATTGAACATGTTACATGCAGATGAAGCTGCTGATAATGAAGAGAAGCCAAAGACAGCTGACGTGGTAGATGTAGGCCCAGGCTCAGTAGACTGTCTAGCCCTACATAAGAAAGGCCTGTATGTTGCTGGCCAGGTAAGCTGTTACCCTGTTCATCTCAGGGCCATTTTAAACAGTCTTTTGGGTTGAAACCTCATTGGTGACTGTCTACAGTGGACCCCATTCCTTTTTTTGGACATATCAAATAATTATTATTAGGTATTTTCCAAAGAAATGGATTACCGCGTATGTGAAGTATGTTTTGTGCCATCAAAATCACATCATTATACCAAAAGAATTCTAAAGTGAAACAAAATCTTTGCTGTTCTGTGGTTGTAAACACCAATGTTGAGTTTCAATCAGATACTTTTGTTGTTGTTCCTTTAGGTTTTTGTAAGTGACCTGCAAAGGTTTTGCATTTGAAAACAAGTTTTTTTCTTAGAAGTGTACCATAATGACCAGCTACTCTGGCTAATAAAAATGATTATTATATTAACTGTGAAGTATTATCATTATAAGGATCCTTATAAGATCATTATAAGGCTACAATAGTACGCGCACTCTTGGTTTTAATTGATTGCAGGTTTAGGTCCAAAATTTCTCATTGTCAAAGAAACTGTGTCTTGTGGTTTCGATCGTATCGCCAGGTTCATCTCGGTTCAATGAAAGTGACTCTGAATGACCTCTTACATGCAGATTCAGCAGATGTTGAAAATTACTTCTGGTGTTTTCTATTTTATTCATTTTAAGAATAGTGCTAAACAGGCCATATAATATATCATATAATAAATAACTTATTAACTTCGTCCGTTCGCTCATTTCAGGGAAATCTCAGACCTCGGCCTTGATGTATTTACCTCACTATCGATTGGTCAATACAGCATCAAGGCCTCGGTCTGAGATTTCCCTGTAATGACCGCACTCTCAGTTAATAAGTAGTATATAATGTCCAAGTTCTCCTCGCGAGAAGTAGGCATTTACAATGCTCAAATCGCTGACCCGTGATATTAGGTAGTCTTATGGGAGTCAGGCTTTCTGAGCTAGGGTCAGCTCGGGTTGTTTCATGCACAATAACTTTTCTGTCATGTATAAACCTACCTGTAGTTAATTTAGCAAAGCTCACTTCCTTTCATTACTGATGAGTTCATTACATTGTGACTTTTAGAATGGTTTGTTGAGGTGTTTGGATGTTTCTTCCTCCGAGCTTAAAATTGTGGAGCAGATCGACGTTGGTTGTGCTGTGTCAAGTCTCATGTGGTCTCCCAACTACCGAACCATGGCTCTTGGCAGCCCCAAGGTAATGTAAATAACTGGTCCATGTATAGTTGTGATGTAGTAACCTTTTTTACCATTGGACTTAACAGTCTGGTGTTCCAGCCCTGTGTCAAGTTACATTACCTGTTAAAGGTGTTCACGGTATTATTACTTTGACATTAGAGAAGTTAAATAAGCATCACGTTTAAGTCAAACGGCAAACTCGAATTTGTACCTCGTGACCAAGTTTCCCCTTTGCTTGCCACCTACTTTTCATTATTTCTACACATAAGTTAGTAGTTTCAGGCAATTTTTTATCCATAAGAATTTTCTGAGCTGTTCTTATCCGCTCATTTTCTATTTTGAGAAATTCTTAACTCAAATCTGACGTTTGTCGTTTGCCGTATACGTGAAGATTTAACTCTCTAGTAATTATGTACAGTGGAACTTCGATATAACGAACCTCGATATGACGATGCCCTTGATATAACGAACGATTTTCTTTACCCCAGTAATAGTAAAATATAATAAAAAGAACCTCGTTATTGCGGACAAATTTTTCCAATCCCTTGGCCCTTCGTTATATCGAGGTTTCACCGTATATGGTTTTTGCATTTAATCCTGTATGTTTTCATGTGTGAATGGTACTTGTTTTCAGTTTATAGTTGCTATCATTACTCACAAATTCAGCTTTATTTGTAATAAAGATGAAATTATTGACTAGAGGTGTTTTTAATTCTTTTTTTTTTCTCAGGGATGTGTTTATCTGTATGATTCTGAAGGATCTATTGCAGAGTTGTTAGATATTCACAATGCAGACTTTGTTGGCATTGACTGTTTGACAGCTGGGACCCAATACTGTGTGGTAAGAGAATGGATCTGTCACCCCACGTAAGATCATTCAAGACAGTCTTGGATTCTGGATTCCAAGCTGTGGATTCCAGATTCCAGGGTTCACATTCCTTCACATGCCAACCTCCGGGGATCTAAAATCCGGAGACTCTCTATTTTGCACTACATCCACCTCGCCAAATGTCAACAGCCCCAACACCTCCCACCCCCACCCACAAATTAACCAAGCCACCATGGCTTAGGATATTATATGAGGTCTTACATGAAGTACATGCTATCAAAATACGTGCAAAAAAAGTACCAGAAACCGTACTATGAGTAAAAAAGTTCAAATTTTGAGGGAAAAAATGGGCTAAATTTCAAACTAAAACATAGAAAAGCTCAAAAGTCTCTTTTATGCGGGAGATTTGGTGACCCGTATGGGAGAGCGGAGGGTCAATGCTGTATCCGGGAGAGTTGCCTTATATGTTCCTTGTGAGTGGAACGTAGATTCTCGATTCCATTCGTTGGGGGGATTCAGCATTTCTAGGGCTGAATTCTGGATTCCAAAGCTCAGTATTCCTGATTCGGCAAGAAAAACTGTTTTGGATTCTGGATTCCGTGAGCAAAAATTTCCTGTAATCCAAATTCAGATTACATTACATGGGGCGAGCCCTTCCCTAAACATTGAAAGGTGCTATATTTAATTGCCAAGAAGTGTCACATCAGTTGAGAATCATTTGTTTTAAAACAATTTTAATCTACTGTTTTCCAGAGTTGCAGATCCGATGGCCTCTTGCAGGTGTGGGACATACAAACCAGCAGCTTAGTAAGCAAAATCGATTTGGACTGTCAGGTAATTAAATAGACTTCTATTGTGGAAACTCTGAGACCAATTTTCTGTCTGTATATGCTGTAGTTGAATGCAGGTTAAGTGGATAAATCTAGTTTGATTCTCAACGTTATTCATTCACAACCTTTTTTCCTAGCTTGCTCACTAAGACTGCGGTCAAATTGTACCGAACGAATTTTCGACCGGCTAAGAAAAATTGACTGGACATTTTGTTCATACAGTTCTACAGTTCAATATTTTTGCCCTGTTCACAGGGAACTGACAAACCAGGTTGAATTTCAACTTTTTTCAGTTGTTTTTTCATCTGCCAACGTGCAAAGCGCTGCTTTAGCAAATCCAAAAAGGCGTCTCCCAGCTGAGGTCCCGTCCATCCATTCAACCACGCGTTTGCCGTACAAAAATGTTGATGGTCAAGGCGTTCACACCTGGCCTGTCAAATTTTTGACCGTATCGGCGTAAAATTTTGCCTCGATTTTCCTAACGGCTCGGCGTCTAAATTTTCGTACCGTTAGCGTGGTTCGGTGTGAACACCCAAATTTTCAAGTGGACGAAACTTCGTCCGGTACCCTTTGAGCGTAGCCTTAGGTGGAGTTGGAGCGATTTTCGTATTACCTTGAAAAATGGTTTCGGTAAGTGTTCGTTTTATTTGTTTTATCAGCCAATGGATGAAGAGATCAAAACATTCATGGACTCTTCGTTCTCCGGCCAAAGAAAACCCTAATATGGAGTAGGCCTTGTTCGATTGGCCAATCGTGTTACAGTATGACGTCAAAGCGAAGTATCAGTTGATTTCTAGAAAGTTCTCGGGCATGAAGTTTTTTCACCTGAGCGTTCGCTAAATCAATCAAATCGCTCTATTTCCGTTCGTTTGTTGTTTCTGTTTTGTTCGCACGTTTTTTCTTTAAGGTCATACGAAAATCGCTCTATCATCTTCCCTGTACAGGCCTCATGTATGCAGTGCAGTCCATCCTCTAGTACAGTGGCTATTGGAACTCTTACTGGCCATATCTACTTTGTTGAGATCACTAATGTGGAGAAGCCACGACTTATTTACAGAAGTCACTTTCATAATGGACCAGTGTTACAACTAAGGTGCGCTGTATATGTTCATCCTATGTGATATCATTACCTGAAAATGCTTCATTGGCAGTTCGGGATGATTTGATTTGCAACCCATGACCAAAAAAAGGCACCTAAGAAATGCATGTAGTTATAATTGGTTAATAAATGCAGACGGCAGAAGAATTTTGGCACCTTGACTGCGATATTTCTCGCTGAAATCACCATTTCGTAGACGCGCGATTTTGGGTTGCACCCCCGTCGCCAGATCTTTTCCGGCAATAAATTGGGCAATAAAATCACGATATTATTCTTCGGTGATGCCGGTATGAAGCAGTTTTTTTTTTCTAATCCAGTTTTTAGGCGTTGCACCAAGCGACTAGGAGTTATTCATTAGAGTGTTGGATTTACTAGTAAATGCAAAATGCCGAGAGTAGTATAGAACGCATGTTCACACCCTCCTTTTGAGTAGGAATCGCATTAATGTAGGTGTGTTCCTTCTCCAGTAAATGAGTCGACTCTAGTATCCCTCGCAGCCGTTTTTAGGGAGTTTTAGCAACGATGACGGCGACAACAGCGAGACCGTCAAAACAGCAATAGGTTTATTAAGCAAAACAACAGGTTTGCACGTGCTTCACGCTCTTCTGTACATTTCTTAGCCGTTACTGCACGACGACGACGTGAAAATGCCTAATTTCACGTTTTATGGAGGACGTAAACAAGCGACGGCGAAAGTTTCTTTCTCTTTCTTAACTTGAATGCGGTCTCCAAGAAATCAACTCTAGAGAAATTTGCCTACTTTAGACATTTTCAGTGAATTAGAATAAACGCGAAACAGTTTGAAAAACGCCGATTCATTTTAAAAGTGATGTTTTAGCTACCGTCGCGGTCGTCGATGCTAAAACTCCCTTTTGTCTCGTCACACAACGCTCATCCCTAATTTATGAGACTCATCCCCTCAAAAAAGGTACAAATCATGCCACCCTATACTACTATCACATGTTCTCGTCTTCTGGGGTTATTGTAAAAACCGATGCAAGGGCTATAAATTGAGTCTCCAAAGTAACCCCGGAGTCTTGTCCTCAGCAAAAAGCCTGTCGACAGTACAAGTGTTCTGATTTTGTCTGCAACATGTATGCCACTTCGTCCTATCGCTTTTTCTACTGTTGACCTTTGCTTGTATCACGTTTTCAGTTACGACTGGAGTGGACAGATGTTTGTCACTGGATCAAATGATGGTCACGTGTTTGTGTGTGATGCGAGAGTCAGTAACAACTTTAAAGTTCTCGGACATTTAGGTCAGAACTGGTCTATTGTTGACACCTTTCAGCTCTCTGTTCTACCCTCTACTACCCTCTACTCCCCGTCTCTGATAGCTGAGTTCCCGAAACAAACCTAACTCCTTTGACAACTCCAAATATATAGGTTTGACTGGTATGTAATTCGAGTCAAAATACAACGAAGACCTCGAGCAACATTCATTATTATCGCCTGCGGCTTTGCGCTCAAACAAACACAAAAGTACAGATGTAATTACTATGGCCAATCACAACGTCCAGGCACAAACAATCCAATCAGCCAATCAGAAACCGTAAAAAAAAAAAAAAACAAGAAAAGAGAGGTAAAATGTGCGCACATGTTGAAATCGGTTTTGGTTTTTATTCTGCTTCTTGGCTGAAGAGAGCTGCGCGAGATTTTTAGCCAGTCACAAGACTTAAAGATTGCACAATAAAGGGAGAACACGATCAAGGTGAATCTAAACCATAGGTTAAAATCTTTTCCTTTTGGGTCGAATGTTATCTCGAGCCCCTATTTTATCATGCCTCTTTCAATTTAGGAACATGATAAATGTATTGAACCCGGGTGACATTTCATACGTAGGTGGAATATCTGGAATATGATCGTCCAGGTGAATGTAGTCCCAAATAGGACTGTTGTTGACAGTGACTGACGTTTCGACAACCTGTACAATCTGACTTTGCCGAAACGTCAGTCACTGTCAAACTGTCAAACCGCATTCACCCAGTCGATCATATTCCACTAACTTATCCGTTTGGGATGGAAATAACTACTGGCTATGAAAATGTTACTTTTGACACTCGATGGGAAACCGACAAAATAAGCTTGCAGAGGGGAAGTGTACTTCTTTCCTTGATACTGGGACTTGTCTACAGGGCACTGATTGAAAATTATGCGTTATTGTCAATTGAAATTGTTTTTGTTTGTTTTTCCTTCACAAAGATTTACCAGGCACAGTATGCTCAGTTGCCACAATAAATAGCCGTGAAAAGGATTCCCAAGGCCCTTGGAAAATTGCAGTGGCTTACCTTACAAGTGAAAAAAGCCCTTTAGCAACGAACCTTTTAGAATTCGAAGTCACTATGGATATTTTAAATGGTAAGTTAAATATATTTTGGCAAAGTGAACATCTGTTCGATTGATCGTATTTTTAGACTAAGAATTCACAGAGAGCTTGTTCAAAATCCTCCTTATCTCTATTTTGCCATTACTAGAATGCTAAATACATCTTGTATGGAAGCCAGATTTCAGATGGTACGGTGTGCATAGACTCTTAAATAATCGATTTCTATAGTTAATTGTATTTCATCCTATTCGGTCAATAGCGCTAAGTTGAATCTCACGGAAGATGTTATAATCTCCCTTTATACTCACCTTCCTACAGCTTTTATGTAGCACGCACCAACCTGAAGAGCACCAGGCACGTGTTGTTGCTATAGCAATTGTGAATTTACCCTGGCAAGAGAGAATATTGGGATTGTTCTCTCTTGGCTCCCTGACTCTGAAGATAACTTAAAAGTACGTTGTAGATATGGACACTTCAGGCACCGAATGCCAAGCTTGCGGGCCAAAAAGGCTTCGTAGGCATTGGCCATTGTTAGGTCAGGGGTAGGGTGAATTCTTCTATTGGACTGCTTGGGGGACGTAAAATACTTGTGTTAGCCAATAAAACAATCACTAGCGTTCCCTAAACAGTCCAATAAGAGTAGTCGACACAACAACGATCCATTCTCATGTACAACCTTAAACTGGAAAATGGAAAGGGGCGACGTCATGCTACTTGCGCTCTTTTTAAAAAGCTAAAACGTTTTTGGCATCAATTGAATTCTAAAAATAATGGTCCAGCTTTGTTATTTTAGACTATATTTAGGTATTGAAACTGTTCCCTGTCGTCTGTTGCAACGGATTGCAAGAATGGACATGGATTGAAACTTGAAAAAGTTGGGTAAACTTTTTCAACTTTAATACTATGCCTCCAAAAATCACCAAGAAAATTATTATGGCTGGTTCTTCCTGATAAATTTTGTGTGATATCTTCTTTATACTGTCTTCATAACGCTACAAGAACATTTTGTGTATGGGTTACAGGCACTAAGTAACGACTTCAGAACAGAATTGATCTAAAACCGCAATGTCCTCGTTACATGGCCAGTTTTACGTGCCTAAAAAGGAACTGTCTTCTGAATGATTTCTGATTGATCAGGTGCACAGGAAGCTTTTCTGAATAAGACGCTTCTGTACAGAGATGAAGCAGTAAAAAAGGCCATTCATCAGCTTGCTGCTCCGTGTTACAGTCTGGTGCTCACAAGTCCACAGACTGCTCTATCAGTGGCGCATGCCAGAAAGGAGATGGTCAAACTAGCACTTACAGGGGAGGGCAAGGTAAGTAGTAGCACCAAGAGAGGGGTAGATGGGGCAAAACGTAAGGCTGTTAGAGGTGGGGAGGAGAGAATTGAGATATCACATGAGCACAGGCTAAAGCTGACAAGGTTGGGGTGGATACGGTCGTACTCTCAAAGGACTAAGGCCCGGTTCAGACGCCGTACTTTTCATGAGCCGAACCTAATACATTGAATTAAGTACATGAAAAGTTCGGCGTCTGGATCAGTTAGGAACGCCTGTTTCAATTTGGAACGGCTCACCCGTTCTTTTCGCCTAGCCCGGCCGGGAATTTCGCCTTTCGATCAACTTTGGAACGCCTTTGATTCAGACGCCGAACTTTTCATGTACCGAACCTAATGCATAACTTCTTATAACGTATTTTGTAAGCAGTTTGACCAAAATGCGCATTTTTCGCCTTCTGAATTTAGTTCGGCTGGAATTAAGATCGGCGTCTGAATCAATTTAGCCGGTCTAAATAATTTGGGTCGGCCTTAATTCGAATTAGGTTCGGCTCATGAAAAGTTCGGCGTCTGAACCGGGCCTAAAACTCCTAAATGAGATGAAATAGTCCATACTTTACGATAAACCGTTTCTGGAGCACGGGGCGGATAAATTGACAATACCCCGCTTTGCCGTAAATACGGTTAGACTGCCTCTTACCCCAGAGACACAGCTAGGCTAGCGGGTTGGGCGAAGAAATTTTGTTTCCCTTCAAAATAAACAGCAAATAAACACATGGCAATCATGTTCTCCTACCCACACCTGTAGTCAGAAACAGTGTATCTCAAAGTCTTTAATACAACGACTACAGTCAAGGTTCTATTTAGTGGTCTGCCATTAAACGGCTTCCCACTATTCAGCGGCAAGATACCAAAATCCTGGCGGAAGAATTGTCAGTGAGTCACTCTGTGAAGGGTTCAGAGTTAACAATTTAACAATTTTGGGGAATACCGTATTTATTCGATTAAACGCCGCGGCGTTTATTAAATTTTCAGCGTTTCCTATGCGGCGTCTATTCGAGGGTGACGTTTACTTCGAAATCACTTTTCTTAAATCACTGACAACAGTTACTGGAAATCGTTTGTAAATATTATGTAATATAAAGGTCTTAATGTCTCTCTTATTTTGCTGAGACAGAATCGTAAATGTCTGAATGGTGTAAATTACCAAGTTGTACCGATTTCTTTCTTATCATCCTAGAGTAGACGCCGCGGTCTTTCGATTAGGTGCGGCGTTTATTCGAGGGCAGCGTTTAATGGTAATTTTGCTTTCATCTGCGGCGTTTAATTGAACAAATACGGTAGCACGGAATATGAGAAATCGGTTTCTAAGGCTGCCAGTGTATTTCTTTTTTTCCCGTCTTGTATTGAGATGAGACTCTCAACCCTCAGGTGGCTCCATCGGACACCAAGCTGAAGCCATCCGGTTCTTACCCAGGCCATGAGTTGCATGGTGGTCGCGTGACCTTATCCCCTCATTTAAGATGGCTGGCTAGTTGTGCTGCCGATGGCAAACTTCTCCTGAGAGCAGTGGGTGCACTGGTAAGATTTGCTTCATTTTCCTATTTCCGGCCAAGGACAATGTAACGCAACTGACGTAAGCCGACTTCCGGGGCTCAATTTGCCGCACTGCCATTGGTCAAGCCAGTTTTTAGATCTGCGCGCTGTAGGAAGTTTAAGCAACGTCGTTTTTGAGCTACACACGTCAACCGGAAGTAGACGTTTTGTACTCTTCGGCCGTAATTTTGAACAAATTCTTGAACTAGTCGTCTCTTTAAGAGTAACGACACCTAGCAATACAAACTTGAAAGCGTCAAGGCGTATTAAAAGAGAAAAAGGCTCACTTCCGGTTAACGTACCTCGCTCAAAAGCGTCACTGCGTAAACTCCCTAGTAATGTCGTCCTGTTGTCTCTGCTAAATCAGCGAGGTGCCAATAACCCGAAGTGAGCAACTTGTATTCGTGTCACGGCGTTTTTACAGACCAGTTTATTTTCGGAACGATTTTGGCGCGAATTTGGAATATCTGTGAACTCCCCCAAACCAGTAAGCAAAAAAATGGAATTTTTGACATGTTAATGACATATTTTTCCGTTTGATGATATCTTATACTTTGAATGCGCTCTTAGAGGGACTCTTTCTTTCACTTTCTCAAGAAAAATTGCACTAAAATCTATTTAAAAATGAACCGGTCCATTGACCGTGCGTACGGACATTTTATTTTTGGTTTTGCTTTTCGTTGTTGTTGTTATTGTTTTTTGGTGATCTCAAACGTGTCGTGCCATTCATTGTAGGACCGTACATTGCGTGTGCCAGCGCATCATTACAAGCGGGGTGGAGCCACTCATATTTGCTTCACTGGCGATTCACAGCGTGTGTTGAGCACAGGTGCGGATGGAGTTCTGGCTTGCTGGGTCTGGAACTACTCATCAACAGGTAATGAAAGGAAATATAATTGTAATGATCAACTTGGCGTTACCCTTTTGAAAATTTATTACAATGATATAGTTCCCTATTGTCTACACCACCACCGTCATTAGGGAGCTTAAGCAACGCCGACGATGACGGCAACGAGAACGTCAAAAAAGCAATAGGTCTATATTAGCAAAACCACAACTCTGCACGTGTATCACGCGTCTCTGTACATTTCTTTGCCGTCGTTGCGCGACCTCCACGTGAAACTGCCTAAATTCACGTTTTGTGGAGGACGTGAATACAGGACAACGATTCTGCAATTCTTTTCTTAAACATAGATAGAGTCCGTTAGAATTCATCTCCAGAAAAAATTCACTAACACTTTACAAATTGGACGACATGGAATAAGAGCGATGAATTTTTAAAGAGTGTGAATTCACGTTTTAAGAGACGTTTTCACCACCGTCGTGGCCGTTGTCGTCGTCGTTGTCCCCGGGGAGGGGTACTTGGGTTAATTCCCCCCCACCTCGGGCTATTGTCACAGCTGCCAGCTTCATCACCCGTACCACCATTATCACCACCATCACCAAGTCGCCTTTGGCTTTATTGTCTTAAAACAGCAGGACTTGGATATGCTTGTCTTGAATAAAAAGCTTCACCATCATAATCACCACCGTTCTACTCATAGCCGCCAGCAACATCACAGTCGCAATTATCATCACCATAGCCTGAGGAAATGACGCCACCACTGGTTCCCCCGCAAAATGACGTCGTAGAAACGAGTGCAGAAATTCCATACTGATGACGTTTCACCAACTGGCCAGTGCTTCTGATTGGCCATGTCGCGAGGGAAATTTGCTTCAACTAATCAGAAGCACTGTCCAGATCTGGGTAGTGTCGCGTCCTCAGTATGGAATTTCTGCGCCTGTTCCTCAGACGTCATCTTGCGGAGAAACCAGTGGTGGTGTCGTGAAGTGTCGACCGTTTTATGTGGCTGTCATCACCATCTTAACATCACCGCCATTTATCATTACAAAATTTATTTGTAGGAAGAGGAAAAGCTACTGCCGCCATAGATGCTGCGCGTGCACGTACGTCACTATTGGCCACCACTAGAAAGGAAGAGGACAGTCTGGCGGCTCAGAGGGGAGATTACATTCCCAGGCCCCTTTCGCCAGTTGAGAAGGCAAACACTGAGGCGAGTGAGAAACAACAGAAGATTGTCAAAGACCGAATTTACACGACCCCCACTCCCACCCCTTCAGAAGATGCTACGTGGCTTGAGAAGGCCGTCAGTGAGGTATAAAAAGAATTGTTTTAACTTAAAAGTGGTGCTTTTAGACTCAGTCTAGATAAGATTTTTTTGGTGCATAGATGAACACTGAGTCGTTCGATGCGAGTCGAACTCTTCAGCTTGAATCAGCTTTTAAACACTATTTTGTTGTGATACTGTTTGCTTCATTGGACCGGTTCTTTCAAACATTTTCTACGACTGAAATCACAAGAGCTAATAACTGAGCATTATATTATATCTATCGGTGGTTCTAGCCTTTGAATTTTTGTGAATCAAACGGTAAAGTTAGACTATTCAGGTGAAAGCTACTCAACATTACTTTCCTGTAAAGAGTATCTCTAATTTTCTGTGGGTAAAATTTCCTGGATGGTTTGGCTTTTCCACTGAAAGCTCTAAGAGCGAGAGGTTTTTTTATCGTACTGGTTGTTTTCCTTTGTCCCACAAACGGCTAGAGCTTCGCGTGGCTCGGATGACCACTTAGAAATGGCGGTTCCGTCTTCAAGTAAGAGACGTTAAAGCAATGTTTTTCATTGGTTGACACTTGTTGAATGAAGTGCTCAATTTTTGTTGTTTGTTTGTCTGTTTTTGGGCAAAGAAATTTTCATAATGAAGTTTAATTTTTGCTTCTTTTGGGAGTCAGAAGCCAGCCAACCTTTTCCTCTTTGCAAATCAACCAACACCTTGCAGTGGCGAATCTAGACCTTCAGGTAAATGTGGGGCCCTGTCATCCAGACCCTGGGATAAGAGGGGGGGAGGGAGGGGTGGTCTCCAAGAAATTTGTTTCGTGTCTGTTTCGGCCCTTCGGGCCTCAGTTTGGACTAAAAATAAGGGGGGCGGGTCCTACCGGGCCCCTCCCCTGCATCTGCCACTGCCTTATACAACTAAAGCAAGCTTCACTGAACTCGAGGACGGTCCGTGTGTTTCTATGTCGATTGAGTTTACCTTATAGTTTCCTCCTTTCTCAGAGCCAACGTGAAGAGGCCAAAAAATTCGCCGAAATTAAACGGAAGTTGCGTCTGGAGATACAAGAATTACGTGAGACTGTTCTGCAGATGATGAGGGAAAACCAGGAAGCACCGGAACTAGAAAGACTCGACAGGCATGAGTACAATTTGGACGTGGATCAGCGACAGAAACTGGTTTTAGAAGGAGAAGAGAAAATTAAACAGGTTTGGGCGTCCAACTTTAAATGGCAAAAACAATGTCTGACTCTGTGTTTAAAGACAGAAAAATATTGGTGATTTGTTATCGTTGCTTATATTTGTGAACAAGGTTTATCATATGGGTGAATCCGCGAGCGGGCAAGATGATGCGAATCCTGTGTTCTGATTGGCTACCCGAGCGGGCAAGATGGGCCCATTTTGCCCGCTCGGGATTTCCCGCGTTGGTCCCGTAAGAAAAAGTTTTTTTTTGGACTTATAATAAATCCTTCATTGATTAAGCTTGTTTGGTCAAGATGGCTGGACATCGGCCGCGTTTTTTTTGCGTCTTTATTGACCTTGACTCGCTCCATAAAAACTCAAAAGACAACTTGACCACATCCAGCTATCTTGACCTCTCGCTTGGTCAGTAATGTATTTATTACCTTTTACATTACAGGTTCGCGAGGAGATACAACTGGCCAATCTAGCTAACCAATACCTACGGGACATGATAAAGAAGGAGTGCTGGACCGCTATGGCTGTAAAAGGACGGTCTGTAAACGCCTTTCATCTGCCTTTATCAGTATCGAACTACCCGATGAAAGAGCGAACCAAAGCTGAACTCGAAGATGTTCAATACGTCACTAACCAGAGGAAAATAGAAGAAGCGGAAGCTGACTCCAGTAAAAAGGTGGCTTCAAGTCCCACTTCCGCCAGGAACACTCCACTTGTTGGTAAGAACACTTCGACCTGTGCAACAGGTAGAAAGGCAGATAAAAGGAGAGATAGACAGACGAACGGACGGACGGACGGACGGACGAAGAGACAGACAGACAGACAGACAAACAGATAGACAAAACGACGGCCGGACGGATAAACACACAAACAGAGACGAAAATCTCCAGTTTCGTGCGATAGTGCTGTGACCGAGAATTCCAAACGGCTTCTCTGCTGGGCTTTGAGGAAATTATAATTTAATCATCGCAAGGACATTCCATAGCTTATTCCAACAATTTTGTATTTGATTCCTCTACAGATGAACGCCACGAGTTTGAGGACGAGGATGCCCTAGCTGACGATGACGGAGAGACGTCTGGAGACAACCCTGCTACGTCCGGGAGTCGTGGCTCAGCATATGGGGGAGGGAACGAGCTTTTCCAGAGCCAATTTCAGCTTCACACGGTTCAGCAGAAGCTCAACCAAATTGTCTTGTTACAGGTAAGCATAGATCAAAAAATGAATCCTAGTGCTAGTCTGGTTCAATAAAGAGCAAGAAAAGGAGGGGATATGATGGTTTCCAGACCTTAAAAAAGCCACAATTCAGGGCACTTTCCATTTGTCAGAACTGACCGGCCAAACCCTTCCCTTCCTAATGAGAATCTCACTATCAATCAAAACTATCCAGCCAGATCGGTCAAATCCTAAATAGTGTGAAGGAAGGAGACGGTTTTTCAGCAAAACCCTTGGAAAAAACCGATTTCATAGTCAAAATGACTGGTCCGGCAATGGTCCGGCCGGCCAGTACTGACAAATGGAAAGCGCCCCATTAATATCTCGTCAACGGTAGAAGATTTTTTTACTTTGAAGAAACAATAGAACTGTTTCAAACATGGATTGCAAAAGTTGGTAGAAAGATCAAGTACCACTGAGCTGTGCAGTTTGATTTAATTATGACTTTTTTTAACGTGTTTCAAGTCTTTCGTAGGTACCCAAACAAATCTGCCCATGAATTTTAGTTAAATAATGAAAAAAATAGTTCATGTTTTAAAAATCTCTTTTTCCATCGTCAAATCAAGTATATTTATAAGCTTTACTCTATGGCAGGATGCCATTTACAGAATCAAGGTGGCCTTCAACAAGGAGTTTGACGATGTTTTCAAACAAAAAGAAGCGGAGATCAAACGAGTCAGCGAAAAGAACGACCGAATAAGGAAGATACTCGGTGACCTGGAGCTTGTCGAGAAGGTTTTTACACCGGTCATGAGCGTGGACGAGAAGCCAGAGCTGCTGTTAGAAGTCAAAGATGACGAGGTTCCGTTTGAGAAGTACATCAGTCCTGAAGAGCAGGCGAAACTCGAAGAACAAGCCCGGATTGATGAAGGTTTGTAACAAGGGATTGAAGGGCTAACAGGGAGCTCTCCATTTGGGGATATCGTGGAAAGTTTCGCGCGAGCGACATGCGAAAGGAGAATCGAGAGAGATGAGCTTTGCCGCTTGCTGAAGCGTTCTCTTGCAGGTTTCCACGCCATTTGAAATGGAAAGCGGGCTACGAGGCTCTAAAGTGATCGAAAACTCATCAACATTTAACTTTACGCTTTAGAGACTTTCGCGCGTGATGGAGACTACTGCTAGACCGCCACGGTCAAATAATGGGTCCCTCCTACCAGAAATTTATTTGAAGTGGAGCGTCAAAGAATTCATTGTAGAGTTGTTGAAAACACCACCCAAATTCTGAAAAATCGGATGTTGTCACTGGAAATAGACCCAATAAATGTTGGTTTAGGGCGCTTCCCATTTGACAGAACGGTCCGTTGAGAGTACCCTGGTCAGAGAGAGAATTCCACTATTAATCAGGACCATCCAGCCAGATAGTAGGCACGGAACAGATGGGTTTTGCGAACCTTTTGCAGAAAGACTAACATTTCATTTTTAAAATGTCCGCCCGGCTGGTGGCCCTCAAGTGTGGTTTCCATATGATCGTCCCGATCGGCCGATGCATTCGTCTCAAATAATTTTCAGGCGATCGGAACGATCATATGGAAACGCTACCCAGACGATCGTAAACAACCCTGGCGACTGAGACGACCTCGATTGCATTGGATAGAATTGAGTGCTATCCGGACGATCGAGTAAATTTGAAGCGATTATAAAAAAGGAGCGCAGGTTTTTTGAGAACAAGTGTGCATGGCGAGTGTTCTGACGAGTTCAGCAATGATTATTATGCAACATTTCTTTTCCATGTAGAGCGAAGGCTAGCTGAGAAAGGGGATAACGCACGTGAGCGTGCACTGATGATGATGATGCAGGGGCGACTGGAGGCCAACCCTGAAGACGAACTGAAGAAGGATCTGGTCCCGCCTGACTTCATTATCAACAAACCTCAAGAGGAATGGAGTGAAGACGACCAAAAAGCTGCCAAGGAGTTTGAGAAGAAGAAGCAACAACTGCAAGAGGATCGTGAGAAGTATCGCAAATCACTGGAGACTGAGCTCAAGAAATTGCAGAGTGGCATCTCTGAAGCGACTGCTGTATTTGATGAGAAACTGGGCCAGTTGTTTCAGAGGAAAGTCAAGACCGAGATGGTTATCTACCAGGTATGTTGACAGATAGGTGGGTCAGTTGGTGAGCAGGCAATTCTTTCTTTAATCTTGGTGGGTCACCGAGCAGGCAGGCTGCTCCGCCAATCAATACGTAGGCAGTAAGATGGGGATCGTGACCGGTCTGTGAGTAGGTAGATAGAAGGATCAGTTAAACGGTCGCCTTGTAGGAAGGGAGCTCATTTGGTTGGTTAGAATGTAGGTAGTAGGACGGTTGGTTGTTACTAGGTCGATTAGTTAATTGGTAAGCAGCGGTGTCACACAAGTACCAAAGGACGCTCTGTAGCCATGGTTGAATGAATGCTATTATGTCGTAAATCACTGCCAGCCATTCGTGCTAGCCTGAGAAAACAGCCAGTCGTGCTGCGAGGGAAATTTTCTTCAACCAATTGAATTTCTGCTTTCGTGCCTCGCACGTCCATTTCTCGGGGAAATCAGTGGTGGGGTCGCGAAATGTCGGCTGTTTTCAAAGGCTAATCCGTGCTCGTAAGGTTTCGTTGAATAACTGGCGCAAATTATTCTTATACGCTTAATTTAACGATGCTATTATCCCCTTCATAATTTTTGCAGGAAGAACTCAAGATCCTTCGCCTGATGGTGTCAGTATTAACGGAAGGAGAGCTGGAAATTCAGGAGACAGAGTTGACTCGCCGCATGAACGACACCAAAGATAAAAAGACGCAGACTGCAGGAGCTTTAGCTGAAGCCAAACGAGAAGTGGATCAGTTCCGTGATTCCTACGAGATTGTATTGGCTGAGGACAAGGCTCTGGATAAAGCCTTCAAAAAGGAGTTTGCAGACCAGGATATGCATACCGTGGAACAGCTTTATAAACTCTTCAAGCGAAGGCCCAGGTGAGTTGGTTAAAATGGAACAGTAATGCTTCTCGTAGTCTTGACAGTGCTCAATAAGGTCAAGGGAGTCTACGGGGCTACGGGGTTGGTATGGTGAAGGGTTGGGCATAATGTCCCTCAAGTAGTCTTGGCTGTGCTCAACAAGGTCAAGGGAATCCAGAGGCGTGGTGCGGAGAACGGTTAGGGATCTCTGATTGGATTATGTTCCTCAAGAGGCAATCTCGTTCCCAGGACCTTCATTCTTTTGGGATTGAACAGAAAATGTCCTGGGAGCGAGACTGCTCAAGAAGTGCTCTTGGAGATATCGTACGGATATCTGTAGATGACTAGCCGCTTGAGACATGTATAAGATATGCAGAACTGTTTAACTGTTAAATTGTGTGGAACGCAGTACTATCAGCAACTTCACTGACTTGAAAAAGTCAGCCTAGTCAAAATAAGTAACAATCTTGCAGTTTGTAAGTGGTGATAAATCTACGATTTGAGAATGGTATTTTTTTCTTCAGGGGACAGAAGCAGCTCAAGGCCGCGACTGAATCGCACGGTGATCTTCCAGAGAGCGGAAGCCCATTTGGTCCCAGACCTTCGTCCTCTCGCGCAAATTCTGAGGCGGTGCGAAGCTTGGAGCGCGCAATGGACGAGTTAGATGACGAACAGCACATGCCCGAAGGTGTGGAACCTGCTGTCTGGCAAAGACTTGTTCAAGCCAGGAGGCAGAAAGTCGAGAGCGAGCAACAGGTTTGAAGATACGTGTAATCACAGAGAACAAGCAACAAGTGAATGTAGTTTAAGTTACGGCTTTTCGTCCCTACTGAGTGGGTGCTTTGATCTGCATATACTTAAGAACAGCTACAAAATTCATGTGAGAACATTTTAATCTATGTTGTTTTTTTATTCGGGGCACAGGTTAAAGCTAAGGCCTTGACATTGGCTGAAATGAATTCCTTCCTGCAAAAACGAACTGAAGAAGATGAAAAAGTCAACAGAGAGCTGGAAATCACTCTTCAGGAACTTCAGAGGTATTGGAAGCAGTTCCCTCTTCACACGTAACTGTTCCTTACTGCTCTTTGTCGCGCGAGAATTTATGAGGTCACCAAATGGCCTCAGGCATTCCTGTTGGAAGCGAAGGCTAAGCTGCGTTTTCGAGTTTCCTCTTAGCGGTTTAGGAGAAGGGCCATCGGTCGCTAAGACGCTCCATAAGAACTTCTCAGGCTTGAGTCCCTGTACAATCGGCTACTTACGCTATCAATCCTGTTGATGATAAATGTTAGTGTTCTAGCGAAACAGTTTGATTTAAAACAAACCGTTTCCGTATGATGACACTTTTATGCCCCACCAAAACTTCAAAAATTGTGGACTCTTGGCGTCCAGTAATGTACGACGGATTGTGGGATATTTTCCTTCCTTTCTCTGCCAGAAAAGCTAACTGGAACTCTTTAATCAGTGAAATAATCTGATGCAGTTCTTCTTGTTTTGATTGTTTGTTTGTTTGTTTGTTTTTGAAGGTTGAGAGATGAAAAAATGAGGTTTCTTATTAATTTAGAAGTACAGTTGTTGCTAAAACAAGGACAGGTTGGTGTTTGCTCCCTTCGCTTACCAAATTAATGCTGACTTTAGTTTTAGATCGGTGACTGCTCAGGTTCAGTCGTTAGAGACATTACATTCTATTTTCTAACAAGTGTTGGCTTGTTTATTACAGGTGGAGGTCTCTCCGGGCTCGTTCATCACCGATTACACAGACAGTGCATTGATACACCGCTCTGTTGTTGAGGATCTTAACGCTCAGATCACGGTAAACTATTTTTTTCTCCTTCCTTAATTTTGTCGACGACGATGCTGTGTTTCATAGCTAGTGTTCCATTTCACGCGCAGTTGAACCGTTCACGCCAAATCTATCACAGTTGCTGGAATATAAAATGCTCCTGATAATTCCTGTAAAAAGTAGCTCAGTGATTCACTGTTTTCCGCAGCCCAAACGGGTTTTCGCCTATACTCCACTAACGCAACAACAACAACACTTTATTTCACCCCATAATATGCATAAAATAAAAATTTATAACAATAGTACAGACAATGATAGGGGCGCTGGCTGCCCGAAGTAACCTAAGAGTTAAAAATGCCAGGTAGCCAGTTAAAAGAAAAAATGTTCAGAAATGTTTAGGTCAGGGACACAAGAACAAAGAAAACAGAGAAACACACACAAATAGTTAAGTAACGCGGCCGGATTTGCTAAGGATGTGGCCCGTAGGCTCTTCCTGTACGTTTCTGTTCAAGCTTGTAGTGTCCTTGAAGCCAAAGTGAATTGAATCGTTTTTTCTGAGCTTATTTTTAATCTCGTATGACCTTCTTTAGACCTTGGGGAAAGGAAAGATTGCCACAATGGAAGACAGTAAAGAGTTCAGGAAAGGAATTCATCGACTGGAATGGTAAACGTGATGTTGATTTCATGATTAACATTGATTCTTTGAAAGTTTGGAAGTCGTCTTGACGATTTATTTGAGGCGACTGGAGCGGAAGCAATGCAGTTGTTATCGCTGTATCGGAAAAAGGTTAGACTTTCAAAAAAGTCCTTCGTCGGATTTCATATGGCGACTTATATGGATTTCATGTGGCCGACCTTTCGCGACTTCGCCGCTCGCGGTCGGCCGCCTCGCCGCCAAACAAGACTCGCTCCGCTCGCCAAGAGGTCGACTTGTAGCACGTCTACATAAAGGTTTGTCTAGTATGGTGGAAACGCAGCATAAATAATGCACGCCTTTTTCTTGCTAGGGAACACAAGAAGATGGACATGCAGTGCGAAGATCTTCAGGCCAAGATTCGTGACATCCAGCTTCTAAGAGTTACCAAGGAGTTGCAGCAGGTGCGGACGTGTTTTCAGTAACCCAGTGTTTACTCTTTCTCTGATTACTAAGGATTTGACCAAGCATGCGGAACCTGCCGTTGATGTGATACGATAATAATTCCTCGTGTTGGACCTGAGTTTGTAAACGAAAACCAATTTAAACTTTAGCACGTTTCATGGAAATCAATAAAGAGTAGTAGGAGTGACGATTAGCCACTATAAGCCCTACCCGGGGTAAATGGATTTTACTAGCAGAAAGAAACTGACCGGAAAGAAACGTTTTTTGGGAAATTCAAATTACAGAGGAACTATATTTATGAGTATTTAAGGGACGGTTTCCTTTTTTTCTCTCCAGTTTCTCTCGGAGGGAGACCAGCAAGCGAGGCAGCAGCAAGAGATCGCTACTCTAGAACAAACGCTTACCTTACAAGAGAAGATGCATCATCGCAATGTTAATGATCGCAAGGAAACTATAAAGAACATCAAGAGGTTGATCCGTCGAAAAGAAAAAGATAATGAACAACTGGATGCTGATCTAGAGGAACTTGCCTTGTCAGTTGCTGAGCGAAGGAATGTGAACGAAGCAAATGGTAAGCAGAGTATTGTGTTCGCCGAGCAGGGTATCGTCTTCAGGGTCTTGAGTCTTAAACAGGGTGTAAAGGTTCACTTTTAAGCGTCTTGATCAGGGTGTCTTTTTTGTACCAGAGGCCTTTAAAAGAGTGTGATGGTCGTCGATGAGTGATCTTTAACAATTATTCCTCGAGCCCGAATGGGACTCAGAGGCCATGAGGGCGAGAGGAATAATTGTTTTAGTAAAATCCAACTAGTTGGTCATAAATATCGAGACAAAACAACTTTAGTTAGCAAAACGCGATTCAGCCGCCATCGTTTTGGTTTTCAAAGCCGGCGCTTTTCGCCACTAGTGGGCTATAATACATAGCCTAGTAGTAGCTCGACCAATCGGAACGCAGCATTGAAAATAGACCACTAGTTGGATTTTACTAAGCATTAATATTTGTGTACAGTGGATCCTCGATATAACGAACGGCCAAGGAACTGGCAAAATTTGTTCGCTGTAACGAGGTTTCGTTATATCAAGGTTGGTTCTTTTTTACTTTTTCTGGGGTAAAGAAAATCGTTTGTTAACCGAGGACTTCGTTTTTAGAGGTTCGTTATATCGTGGTTCCACTGTATCCCCAATTTTTTTTCCAGAAAAATAGTATTCCTTGACCTTAGTTAAAAAGATTACTTTACGCTGTATGCGAAACAAAAGGGATAAGGGTCATCAAATAAGGTCTCTTGTGTTGTACAAGGTAGCGAAATGAACTGTTTCGAAAAATGAAGATTCACGAACGTTCAACGCTTTTCACTCGTCTGGGCTACAGAAAACAAAAGAATATGTCAGATTTCTGGTCTAAAAAGTGGCCGCGGTCGTTTAAGAAATTTAAATAGTGGTCGCTTACGAGAGAGTTTTTGAAACAGTATTCGACTGAGAAACAAAACGGTTATTTAAAAAGTAGTCGCTTACGAGGAGTGGTCGCTATGAGAGAATTGACTGTACTTAGTAGAACTAATTGTTTGAACCTTGACAAACAGACTGGGTATCCCACTAGGACGACCTTGAGAACAATGACCTCAACCAGGTTGGCGTCCAGCGGTTGTAGTGAGTGGGGTGCGAAGTCTCGCGGGCTCCTAAAACCTGGTCTCGGTCATTCTTATTTAAGGATTTTTATCCAACTAAACAACCTCACCCACCCCCGCCCCCGCCTCATTTTCTAATGGAAGAGCCCTGGGTCGCTACTTCATGCGGTTTGAAAAAGTTAACGTCGTCAATGCCATATGGTCAAGAATTTTAAACCTTCGTACTTGATTAGGGTTTACCGCTTCTCATAGGCACATAATGCTTCCACGTAATAAGACTACAAAGAACGCACATATTGAGCGAAATGCAATGTGGGAACCTCTAATATGCCACATTTTCTTCGTTTCTTTACTTTGATGGGAAGGGGTGAGGGCTTTCTCTGCATTCTATGCATCTCTAAACGATGCAGAATTTTATTCCACGAAATGAGCACATGAACTTGACCAACACATGACAGATTCGTATCTTTACTTTTCCTTTTAATAGCGGCTGGTCGCTCTGACACTGGGGCCGAGCGACGCCTGCAGGATATTGTGGCACGACGCAAGTTGGTAGACCTTGCCAAAGCGCAGGCGCAGGAAGTAGCCGTGCTCCGGGCTGAAGTGGAACGATTGCGTATGCGCACCTTCCCAGCCCTTGTACAAATTGAGCATTAGAAGTTTCCTTGTGCTGTAAATAGACGACGTTTGGATTGTGTATTGGATGTGTGGTCTCGAATTGAGAAAGTATTTTCAATTTTTATTGTCGTCAATTTTATTTAAATTGTATTTTTGGTGAAGGTTCGCGAAGTTTTAGAAGTGAACAAGTTTCTATCCACCCGTTGCGTCTACACACAGACTTGCAACGTAGGCGCCTTGTGATGGTTTATTGTTGTTAATGGCTGATTTAAAATGTATATATATTGACTACTGTACTACATATACTGTATATTGGACTTCCTGACTGAATAAACCAGATGTTTCCCTTTGTTTTCGATTTCTTGTTTGGTTGTTGCAACAGGCAATAATCCCTGGGTTTCATCCCCTATTCTCGATCCCCGATCCTCGTTTACTAGGAAACCTGTTTCGTGCATGTCGCTCCACGATAGCGGAAATAGCTGGGATATGATGCTGCCGCCATGATCTTCAAGAGTTGAGAGGTACTGTGGGAATTGTCATAGGGAACGTGTTTTTCACCACAGGTCTAATTCTTGCGCGAATTTCGAAACCATTACTTGTAGACTGGTAGATTCAGGACCAGTTTACGAGGGAACCCGAGTGGGCTTTACAGAGTTAGTTGCTGTGACCATGCCGAAGTCATCATGAAATAGTAATTATGTTCTGTCACGCGAAAAGACCGTGAATGTGACATCAATCCTAGCTTCCGGCTGGATTATCTCGGGACTCTAACACGGGCAAAGGTCTGAAGGGGTGTTTGTTTTATTTAGTGGCACTTCATTTACCATTTTAAAAAATAAGAACATGGCAAAGGAAGTTTAAAATAATAGGTTAATACAACTACCGTTGAATTTTCTCAAGGTAAGAGCTTCTCTTCGTTGAAAAGCGTCGGCTGGGATAAAGGAAGGGAAGGGAGGCCGTACAATGAAAACACTCGAGCTCGAACACATGCTGCGAGTGCCACAATAACCCACGTAGCCTGCGAAAACATCCGTTTCTCCTCGCTCTTCGTAGCTGGGGACGTTTCGCGCGAAACGTCCCCGGCGGCGAAGAGCGAGGAGAAACGAATGTTTTCGCAGGCTATAACCCACGTTCGTTATATTAAAATTTTGACATGACCGAGGCTTTAGGGTCAAAATTGCAATTTTTTTTTACGACTCCATTGTCCAGCAATTCCCAGAAGAGATTTGAGCACAAAGAACACCAAACCAAATATAGAAAAATGACCAGAAAGCCTCGACTTCATGTTAGAATTTTAATATATCGAACGTGGGTTATTAAATGAAAGCGACATTTCGATTAGATGTTTCTTAAAATGGAGGTAACCTTTTATTATTATGACGGCATTTAAATCCTTGAGTTGGGGTGATGGGGGATCCAACCTTCCGTCTCGTGGGGCCTGTTTCTCGAAAGTCCCAGGAAAGTTTCGGGCCTGGAAATCTGTTTTGTGTTCGCCATGTTCCCATTCACTATCAAAGTTTCTTCAATAATTTTGAAAACGATGCAATAAAACTATCAGTTAACAAAAAGTTGACTGGTTTGTGTGCTAGGAACTGTGCTACTATTCAGCAGGTTTTGATTTCAAAATTTTCGTTCGGGCCCGAAAAGTTTCCGGGCCTTTCGAGAAACGGGCCCCTGTACCTGTCATTCCCTTCTTTCGCCCTATTTTTCAGATTTTTCTTGGCTTCCTCCGCTAAGCCCTTTTTCGATTGCGAAAGATTAAGTATTGTTGCTTAATTTCCCTTTATTTCTCCCACTTTCCGCTTTTTTAGATCCCCTTCCTCCCGCTCTTTCCTCTCCCGCGTACCGTACCCCTCCCGCCCCCAATGAACGCGACTTGAGTTTGCCCGATATTTTGACAGACAAGCCGTCCTTCTTTAGGGGGGTCAGATTTGAACGAGGCTAGTCTTTGCAAGTTTTGTATTGGATGTAAGTCATTTATTGAAGGAGAGTCGCAAATATAATGCAACCCTTACGGATTAGCCTCCCACGGACGCGTTTTTAGGGGAGCTCGTGTTTCGTCCCTTTGTGGGGAGGGATGGAAAACGAACTCCCCTAAAAACGCCTGCGTGGGAGGCTACTTACGGATTGGCTGACGTAGACATCCGCCGTTAATGTTTATTCTAACGCATAGTGGTAGTTCTAAGTTGGTCTTATGCTCGTTACAAACAACTGCGTACTATACTATTGATTTTAGCCTGTTCCAAATATAAAACGAGAGGAAACTGGGGAGAGGAGGGCGCTGCCACCTTTACCACTGCCCCTACCCTAGCTCTTCCCTAGCCCTTAGTCCCAAATCTTCGCGTGCCTTTCACGTTCGAGGACACTTGACAAAGCTAAGTCCGTACTCATGCTCCAAAGGTTTATTCAGTTACTTATCAACCTGATCACATTTTTATCCTATAAGACCTTACTTCTCACGATCCAAAGCCAGATCATCAGATGTACAGTGCAAAAAATACCCAGGCGTTACAGTTTAGAGGAAACTTTCTCAGTTGCTTCTTCTCTCGGCGATTTAACTCAATCCGTGAGGCCCGCCATGGCTGATCTAAGGGACAAGTCAGAAGTTTCCGGCCTAAGGACAAAACTTAATCGCACAAAGACGGAAGTGCAAAGTCTCGCGACCCGGTCTCGGTCTCCTTAGGGAGCGGTTCGGTTCATAAGTAAGTTAAGCAAAATATCACATCAATGATTAGTTGCTATGACTTTTTAAAACAGACGACAAATATTCTAATTCCGGGGTTAGATGGCCCGATTTTTCGGATGACTGACCGCAAGAACAGATACTGAAAGGAGATGCTGAAAGACGTAGCCTCTATAGTGTTTCCGGCACTTGAATGGCTGGCGTGAATGGCACTGCCTTTACCTTTTGTCCTTCCATTCAGTTGCGTCAATGAGCTTTATTGAAACTTTGCTAATTACATAGTAAGCTCGGTAAAAATTATCTGCCAAAACAGCTGCGGGCTCGAAGGTACCTGTGTTTGATCACACGCGTCATTTGAAGAGGCATGTGGTGCGACTGGCGAGCCCCTGAATCAACATTTAATATTTATCATCTCAAACGATGACATATATTTTGGCGGCAGCCGAAACACGAGCGAGCTAAAGGCATGAACAACCCCGTCAGGTACTAGAAAACCTTATTATTTTCACCTGTGGGAGAGAAAGAGTAAATCATAGTAAATGAAAGAGTCATTCGGCTGCCTCCCGCTCTATTCTATTGAAGCTCGGCAGGTTTCACACGCAAAACAAGAAATCAGCAGACGGGGAGACCACGGATTGGTTGAGCAACCCTGAACAAGTGTTAAGACACCACCGCAGATGTTCAAAAGCCTTTTGTTTGTGGTGCCAAACTCGACGACATTTGAAATTCAAAACTCCGGTAGCAGCCTATGAGGTCTAAGGAAGATAATACGTAATGTTTTCACGTCCTTCCGTGGTGGCAGGTTTTGATTGACAACCACGGCTGCCGCCCTAAGAGCTCTCACGGGTGTCTGCTGAACACTGCCGCGTAGTCGAATCACCATATCTTACAAGTCAGCATCAACACAGATCCCTACTGAACGAAGAACCCGTCATTCTTAGAAAAACCGTCTTAGAGTAAGTATAAAAGTAGTCTTTTTCCTTGGAAACGGTCTCTGAGCCGCCAAAGTGGTGAGAAAATTCATTTGTGAGGGGCATCTTCGTGGTTCGGTTCATACCAGCTGTCGACCTATTCCTCAGATTGACGCATCTTCTTTCGCTCGTTTTGTTGCCGATGGTAGCTTTCTTTTTCAAAGCTAGGCGGGATTGAGAAATCTTTTAAGTTCCAATCTGAAAACTCCATTGGTCCAGCTCCTAATACATCGTTGTCCTTGTCTTCATTACCATGGTAAGACCTTTCTGATGCCGGCAGTCCTACGGTGTACCGCGAAGGAAGTGAACGAACGAAGTTATCATCGACAACGAAATGGCTAAACAGCGCTACCTACCTACTGGTGTAATTTTTTTTTTACTAAAAAAGAGGTATTTAAGCGAGGTGAAATCAAGAGGACGATGAAGAGTTGACTCGGAAAACAATGCTGTTTTGTCCGTCAGCATCGCCGGAATATGGAGGTGTCTTTGTTTGTCGGAAATGACTCTTTCTTCTTCACCGGGAGACTGCTTTCCGAACAACTCGTTTCGAAGTTTCATACCTTTTTATCTGCGCTTACAGAAAGCATTTTGAAGGCCAAAAAGCGACCATCAAGTAAAGGCGGCTAGACGATTAAAAAATCTTGAAAATTTGAGGGATTTGATGAAGAAGGAGAAAGCGATCTGGCGATGGACCTCGTGGCATGACCAAGTCGCGAACTCCGAATGTCTCATCAGAACGACCTACGACTTTCAAGGATCACGACGACTGTAGATTACAATTTAAATTATCCCATTTGAGTGCTAGAAAGACGAAGGAGGAATTTTGTCATTCTAAAGAAATATTTCGAAATCTCGCCGTTCAGCTGCGATTTGCCTCCGTCGGGGGTCGAGCCTGAATACCTCATGTCAACGGGTATTTTTAGCCCTTGACGTAAACAGTGCAGTCTTTAAATTTTCCCACCGCGGGTCGCGAAAGGAAAATAATCATCGTTGAAAATCACTGTTTACAGCAATGAATTGGTAGAGAATTAAATAGAATGTCTTCCACGTAAAGTGGGGAATATATTATCTTTTTTAATTAAGCTTACATTTGTGCACTTTGATTTTCTGCTGCGCGTGAAGTCGATTTTTTGTTGCTTTCATTTGAAATTCGGGCAAACATTTTTGGAGAGGAGGAAATGCAGTCAAATTCATTTGGAAAGGAAGAAAAAATAATCGAAACGAAAGAGACAAAGAAATATATTAGACATTAAGCGAGGCATATATTATATTTTTAATTACATATGGGCACTTTGATTTTCTGCTGTGCGTCAAGGCGATTCAAATGCAGTCTAGTCAAACCCACATGTTGAGAGTAAGACAAAATAATCGAAACGAAAGAGACAAAATGATCCAATTCTAGACAACATTAGTTTATTTGAATTTTTAAGGTTATATGAATAACTGTATTTCGCCTCTACAAGATCAAAATGCATACTAAACTAATTATTGAAGTACTTTACGTTACTTGTCCATTACAGGACCAATTTAGTGATATCAGCTGACCCTATAGTAAATTTGCATTAAGAGGTCATGTGACTATTTAAAGTAACAGTGTTTTGTTTGAAATGGAGGTTATTGTTCCTCTAACGCCTTCTTCAATTGGATTGGATCATATGTCAAGTATAAAGTCATCTTACTAAATGTTTGATTGAAACCTTCTTAAATTTAATTTTTGTGATAACTATTTATATCTTTCTGCCTTTTCTTCTTGCGTTTAGAACATGTTGCAGTAAGATATAGTGATATGCTGACATCACTTATTGATTTTATGAAGCGCATTGGTTCTTGAAACAAAACATTCTTTGTTTCACCCATTTTAATTTGAATAACTAAAACAATGTTTGTAAACATTGATGTCTCCTTAATAAATGAATTTAAAAATGATTATTTCAATGATAGGGATTTTACCTTTTTTTGGTTTTGTTTTTGTTTTTTCATTTCTGTTTTAATGATGGTCTAGTATTACTTTTAATTTTATTATTCTCATATTCCTTAGGCATTTTATTCAGCAGAGAACAAAAGACTTCTTCATTGCGGGATGGCTTCCATGGCCACAGCATATCAAGACTTCACCAAAATAAATCAAGAACCTGTGCTGCGCAGATGTACGCCATTCTGTGAAAAAAACAAGGAGTGCCCAGAGCATCATGAGTTATTAGTAGCTATTGTGAACTGCACAGATATGCTGGGTTCATTGTCAAATCTCGACAACCTTAAAGAGTGTGTAGATAAGTACACCAAGGGTGGATGGGGAAAAGATGATGATGTCCCAGATGCTGTGTTGGATAATCGATTTCCTCTCATCCATTGGGCAGCAGCTCTTGGAAAGTGCAATGCTTTAGAGTGGATGCTCGCCAGTGGATTTTCCCCAGTGGCAAAATCATCTGGAAACGGTGAAACAGCCTTACACCGTGCTATTCAGTGGCTGCACAAGTCAAGACCAAAGTTTACTGTTAAAGAACTCAATCCAAAGTTTTCAAAAATGGTTGCACTGTTGAAGGAGACACTGTTGATCAAAGATGAGGCTCATGGAGAAACTCCTCTCCATACAGCTGCTAATATGCTGGTTCATGGAGAGCATAAGCCTAATTTCTTCCTGTCTTGTTGTGAAGTGATTGTTAACAAAGGAAAGAAGATGGGAGATTATGCAGATGCTATTTTAAACTCTGTTAATGATTCTGGTGAAACAGCCCTACATGTTTTAGCTCGTGGTGAAAGACATAAGGTGGAATACTGCACTCAGGCCATTAGGACTCTCATTGTCGCTGGTGCAGATAGGAGTATCAGAAATAATGAAGGACAGACAGCTTTAGACATTGCCCTCGTTGGTGGATCAGAATCTATTGTTGAGGAACTTATCAGGGTATGTGTCATATACTATGGCTACCTACACCTGACTGTCAGTATAGATAGATTGCAGTCGATTGAAACCAAAACTAATTTGTCTTATAAAGAGTGTATAATAATTACCATGCACAGTGAAACCTTGTGGATGTATGGGCATAAAGATATTAACATGGCTGACTGACTGACTGACTGTGACAAAATATTTTTTCCCAGGGAGGGGGGGGTGGGGGCTGTAGTATGGGTTTCCTCATCATGGGGTCCTCATGTGATTGTCAAAGACCCATAGTGTGGGGAGGGGAAGACAGAATTTTGAATGATGTGTCAAAAATGTGGAATTAAACAAATTAATGTGCAACAATCAGTCCTGAATGATTTATTAGGGACCTTAAGATCCGACGACGGCAACGGGAACACCACAAAAGCAATAGGTTTAATTAGCAAAACAACAATTTTGCACGTGCATCACACTTTTTTGTACATTTCTTTGCTGTCACTGCACGACTACGACGTGAAAATGCCTAATTTCACATTGACAGAGGAAGTACACAAGCGACGACGAAACTTCCTCTCTCTTTCTGAACTTGAATATGGTTCTTAGGAATTTACCTTTAGGAGGGTTAACCTACATTTGTCAAAGTTAGTTACTTGGGGTAATCGCGATGAAGATTGAAAGAACGCGAATTCACTTTTTCAGCGACGTTTTCTCTGCCATCGCCATCCTCATATCTTAAGGTCCCTATTGAAGAAGAGCTCTGATACGTATACCTTACAATGCTAATAATCCTTTCATGACTACCATACCTTTAGGCATATATATGTACTTTCAATGAAAAAAGTTAGGGTGGTTTTCTTCTTACCAAAGGTGACTAAGAAACTGGGGCATTTGGACAGAATTAGTACATGAGTCTTTGTGTACGATGAACTTTTGGGCAATGCCTTTGTTTTTCGGGGGCAAGTTGTAGCTTTAACGTGGCCAATTTGCTCCTGCCAGTTGTTTTGGCTTGCTGTGGGCCTATGCAGTGCATTCCAACCAAGTTCAGAGGTTTTGATCCTTACTCATCAATAAAACCAGAAATGAAAGGAGTGCTTTGATTCTGAACTTGATAGTTAAAAAAGAGCTTTAGATTTTTTTGGAGTAAATTCCATTCATGCCTTCATTCATACCACCAGGTAGTTGAAACAGATGAATCTGTACTGGATAACATGTCTGCTGCTGAGAGCACAGGAGAGCTGGGATACTCTGGCCTTGTGACCCCATCTCCTCCTCTTAGTATAGATGGACACAGTCACTCACCCGTGAGTGCTACAACAATGGACAATGAAGATGAGGATTCCATATATCCTCGCATTGCCCATGTGCAGTCAGTCAACATTAAAGTGGAGCCTCTTGATGACAATGAAGATCCTGATCAGGTATTAAGTCAGAGCAATCCTAGGGATGAGAATATGGCTGGGGGTTGGGAAAGGATAATTGTAGAGTTAGCAATAATTAAGTGTTATGTAACACTAAGTACCACAATCTTCCACTTATAAGCTCCCCAAGTTGTAGGCCTATCTACCTGTAAACCAAAAAATACATCTAGTTATAAGCTCCCTCTAGCATTTTTTGATTGAGCTGAATTCAAATTTTTACGACGTTTTAAAGCTTAAAAAAAGAAGTAAATTCAAAAAGTGTTTTAGCCAGCACTGCTATGTAGCTTGTTTTGAAACTGTTTTTGATATGCCCCTCAAAACCCCCACCACTGGGATATAAGCTACCCTTCATTTATGAGCCCTCCTAACACCTCTTGCGAAGCTGGATAAGCCCAGGCCGATCAAACATTAGTCTTAGAGATTCCAGTTGGAAGTATATTATTATTGTTTTCTGTTGTTGTTATTGTTGTTGTTCTCAAAGGAGCTGGATTTAAGTGTATAGCCTTAAGACTGGAATAGGTGGTTTGGTGGATGATGTTTTTGTAGACTTGATCTCTTCCTAATCTTTTCCACTTATTATAGTTAAAAGGTGGTGTGTCATCATTTTTGCAGCAAATTCAGCAGTTGCAAGAAGAGCAGGCTTCAAGTAGTGGACCTAGTTCAGGTAAGTGCTGCATCAGATAAGAATTTGTTGGAGATGCACAAGTAATATGATTATCAAACAGGTGACGAAGCAGAGTCTTCAATAACATTCAGACACCAAGAAGTGGCTTTAGAAAAAGAGAAACAGATAACTTTTGTTAGGCGGAGTTCATGGTGTGTGAACATTGGATGAAATGCTTCCTTGACTGGTGTCTCTGCAAGATATAAGCCCCCTCTAGCTTGTATTGGAATGAATTCAGTTTTTTTGAAGTTTAATTAAGCCAGTAAAGTAGAAAAGGTTTTTTGATCAGCACTGCTATGTAGCTTGATTTGAAACTTTTACATCAGCCCAGTTAATTAATCGCCCTGTTAAAACCTCCTATACGCCCAGGCTTATGAGTGGGAGTTTACGGTATATGTTTTTCAAAGATATTTTATTTAAAGTCTGCATTGTTGTTTTATAATTTCTGATGTTGTAAAAAAGCATCTGTCTCAAATTTGACATGTTTTATATGAGTAGCTTTGAGATAATTTTGTGTGAAATGAACTTTTCAGATCTTTGTGGTAACTCACCATTGCTTAAACATCTTGGAGAGGCAGGGCTTTTGAATGATGTGTCAGCATTACTTGCTCGCGCACGGAGTAGAGATGAAGGCAACCTTCGGAAATTGCAAGCCCAAGCGAAAGGTATCAGTGGATTTTAGCGACAGTAGTCAGTATTACACTGCATACATGTATAAGCATGCATATATAAGACTGCACACCCCCCTCTCAACTCCAAAACAACTCGAACAAAAGTTGCAATGAAATAGACAGTTAGACTTTGTAGTCTCCTACGGCTAAACTGAAGGCCCCATCTCACAACCCTTGCACATATTAATTATGTGGGACATTAAAGAAACCACACACTGTTCATAATGAGTAGGGGACTTGCTCCCCGGTGAGGTGGTGTATCTCTCATGGGGATAGAGACTGTTATTGGCCAGCAGCTGTTGCAGTGACCCTGCCAAGAATTGCCTAACTTTTTTTTTTTGTTTATGTTTATTTGTTGTTTTTTTGTTTTATGTTGTTCTATTTTATCTTAATTAAATTAATTATTTTATTTCTTTTCTATCACTTTTTTCTTCTCCTAAATTTATGATATTTTTTGTCTCTATCTTTTGTGTGTTGCAACCCTATAAATTGTAGTTTAATCATTGTAACTACTCAGGTCGTTTAGTTCTTTTTGCTATTCTGAGTAGTTTTTTTTCCTGATCAATTTTAATTTATGCTGTTCTTGCAAATGGTTTAAGTTGGCAAAATAAAATGGTTGGTTGTTGTTGTTCTTGCTAAGTAACTAAATAGAAAATAATGTATTATGTTCTTTTTCTGTTGCAGAGGTAGATGCACAAATTAATACAAAACTGAAAGAAATTGAAAGAATGAAGCTGGAAGTTTCCTCACTTAAACTGAAACGAAAGAGATGTGATATTGAAGTTGACAAACTTCATAAAAGACTTGCATCATGTGACAATGCACTAAGAGAAATACCGGGTGCATCTTCACAGTCTTCAACTCCTACAAGCATGTGATTGTGCAGAAATATTATGTTGTACACTGTTAAATTGTATATAAAATTTACTTTTCTTGTATAACAAAGGAAAAAAGAATTTATTACATTCAAGGTAGAGGTTAACATGTTTTGGCTCACTCTGGTAATGCAGAGTGAGCTTTATAAGCCACAAGCTAATGTATGAGCTCTTTAAAACCCAATGGAATACCTAAGCAAAAGGCGCAGATAAAAACCTACAGCAACCACACCACACAGATCTTTTTTTCTTTTTTTAATGTCCTACTGGAAACAGGGAACATTTTGATGTTGTGCCTTTTGTGTGAGCCATATGCCTCAACCTTCATATCAAAAATTTATCATGTATTTGGACAAAATATATTTATTGAAGTATGCTAAAGTGCCAAAACAACGTTTTACAGGAAAAAACTGGTTTAGAAAGGGAGTTGTAAGTCTTATTTTATGTGTAATAAAGAGGCTGAAGTCACACTTGACAAATGCCTTGTGTTTAAGGCATCAGCTGACATTTGATTGGATGTGTAATGAAATTTAACATCTTCCTTGTCATAAGGGTTGCTTAAATGTTTTTGTTACTCTTGTCCTTGGCAGTTTAATAATAACAATTGTAATATTGTAATTATCCTTAACCCTTTATGAGGCTTTTCAAGGATAATAAAACAAATAATTTAAGTAGAACATAATATGGTTAAAAATTCCAACTGGCAGGAGGCGAAGCAGTTGGATATTTTACAAGCTATCCTGGCCGAAGATTTGAACTCGGGACTACTGAGAACAAATCCAGCTAGCGGTCAGTGGGGGACTTCAACTCGAGGCCTCTGAATTAGAAGTCCAGCACTCTACCCGCTCGGCCACTCCACCTCCTTCTCAGCTTCCCTCTGTAATTTAAGAGATTCTTGGTTATGAGTAACCGTATGTGATCTTATTGACGCCCCCAGTCAAATAAACGCCTCTTGTCTGAGAAATACCTCCCTTATGCTTTTGAGTTTGTAGTAGACGCCCCTCACTAATAAACCGGCACCCCATGTCTAATAGACGCCTCCCCCCCACCTCCCTTCCGCCGCCTATATCCAAAATTCAAGGAAATAGCACGAAGGAGCAAGATCGATCAGTTTTGTCAGTTTCTTGCTTGATTAACAAAGATTTGCGCTTTGCATCTTATTCAATGTCAAGTTCAAAGAAAGGATTGCCTAACGGTTACAGCGCTGTCCTGAATAAGAATTCTGACGTCGAGGTTGAGATTCTGAAGGAGCGATATGGATCTCTAGATGGCCTAGACGTACCAATGAATGGACTGGATATTTTGCTCTTTATAAACTGTATTGATATTTTCTCCGAAATCATATTAGTTTTGTTGAGCTGGCTACAGTTACGAGAATAAACGCCTCTCTCTTTCAAACGCTGTCTTTAATATCATTAGTGGTAAACTTGAAAATAATCAGATCTCATCTTGTATTGTAGTATTTGCTGTTACTGGCTTGTCAAAAGCGTCATGTGTGTTCTTTTCCAATGCCTTTTTTATTTACCTATTTCTATTTTTCGATCTATCTTTCCCTCTAAAATGACCTTCCCCAACCCCTCCCTCCCTTTGTTACGAAGTTTCTTCCATCTTAAGTTTTTCACTAATCAATTCATTCGTTCTGTGCTCCATCCACAAAATATTTAATCCTTTCATCCTTCTTGTTTTTTTATTCTTTCCTCAAGTTATGTGCACCTTATTAGCTTAGAGTTCATTCATAAGGGTCCCATGTATGAACTATTATTGATTCATTTGTTCGCAAGTGTTTATACACTGATTTAAGTTGGTAACCAACCGTTAATAAATGCTTTATTTCGAAACGAATGCCCTCATACTAGTTTTGATTTTGTAGTCCGCTTTGTGTATGACTTTTATGGGAAAGAACCCAATCGCAATGAAACTGGAATGACGGTCGTAGCTAATACGGCTATGTTGCTGGGAAGGTTTGTTCGGTTTCAGGCCTTGAAATGACAATCTATCGATACCTGTACCAAGATAAACAGGACTTCTGGTTTAAGTTCCAGCTATTGCAGAGCAGCCCAGTAACCTGAAGCAAGTCGTCTCCAGCACCAGTTTCAACTCGGATTAAGTCAGTAGAATCCTGAAGGCCCGTCATTTCGCCAATCACAACATTATCTAGATTTCCTTCTTGATCAGGTCTTTCTTTCGTTGGCATCAATCATCATTGATCTGATTAATTCCGTGAATCCCTACGGCCCGGCACAATAAAAAGTCACCCTGAGACATTACAAAAACTGAAAGGAGGTTCCCCGCAGTATCTTGAAAATCAAGTTATATTAACACAACCAAGCAATTCAATCCCTTGTTTTTGTAGTCCGCATAAGTTCACCTAAGTTCAGTTTTTTTTACGTTCGTAAGGTTAAAATTATTTCCTCTTTTAGAACGCAAAACAGTCGGGTTTTTTCTCAAAATCGTTTTGGAGTAGAGTAAGAGCAGCGTAGCGCGCGAGCCTCACACGCGCGTAAGGCGTGTACCCAGTCTCGCTCTCCGTTTTCAGCTTTTGTTTGACTGTTCGTACGTAGTTGAATTTATGCAAAAATACGGACTGTTTTGCGGTCTATTCCTCTTCTTTATGCCTGTACTTTCATTCTTTGTGACGTTGATTTTTGATCTTTTCCCTCAATGCCCTTTTATGAACTGAACAAAATGATTTCTTGTTCCACCTTGCTTATGAAAGGGTTCATCTTGCTAATAATTACTTAATTTCACGAGGGATTACATTTTCATGACCAAGAACTGACCAATGAAATGCCAATATAGACCTTTCCCGACGAGATGCTATTTAGCCAATCGCTTGGAACATGTCAATTTTGTGCACTCATCACGCAATCAGGAAATCCAAAGCTTGTGATCGTTTTCAGAAGAATCATCAGACCTGTGATCTTTTTGTTCTTGGTCTTTTCGTCTCTTTTCCCCCAAAAAGATGAAGTTCAATTATCCTATTTTGATTTAAAAACCAAAGTAGTCCTTTTAGCCTCTGTTCATATGATGAAAATCATACTGGATAGGGCCTCTGTTCACATACAACAACGGTTGTGGCGGCTTGTGGTGGCGCGATTTCTGTGACGAAGCAAAGCTGCGCAGCGCCACTTTTTAGCGCTACACAGCGTTACAATGTTGGAACAATGTTGTGACCATTAGAAACAATGTCGTAACGTACAATCCTGCAACTCTGTGTTGCGCTAAAAAGCGTCGTTGCGAATCGTCTGGTATAACATCTCGTGTATTTTCACACTATACCGGTAGCTTTTCGTGGCGTCACGATAAGCTATATACCCATATCCGGTATAGTGTGAACAAAGCCTTAGACCAGCTTAAAAACCGAGAGATTGCGTGACAGACTTTTGAATGAAAATCGATTTTCTGTCCAGAGAGGTTAGTACAACCCGGCGACCCGAACGAAGCACTTGCCAAAATGCCTCTTTCTACAACAGTCATTGGAAGTTTCCCAAAACCTGTTTATCTTAAGATCCCAGACTGGTTTCGGACGACTCATTCAGGCCCTTTCACAGAACAACATAATCTTTTTCTGCAGCAGTCGTCGGAATGTGAAAGAGAGGAAGCAATTAAGAGAGCAACCAAAGAAATAGTCGGGATACAAACCGAAGCGGGAATCGATGTGATCACCGACGGTGAAATTCGCCGTGAGTCGTACAACCGTCATTTTTGAAGAGGCCTGAACGGGTTTGATTTTCATAATTTGTTTTCGAAGGTCTGTCGTGACGGTGCTATTACAACCGATGTCCCTCGGATTGTCGGAGAAGTGTCGCTGCGTCAGGGAGATCCTTGGGTGTGGAAAGAGTGGAGAGCCTCGCAGGATTTGGCAAGTGTGCCCATGAAAATCACCCTACCGGGTCCCATGACAATAATCAACTCCACCGAGGATCAATTTTATGGAGACGAAAAGGTTCTGGGCAGAGTTCTGGCGAGGATAATTAACAACGAGATTCAGGCTGTTCTACATGCTGGATGTAAATATATTCAGGTATAGAAAAAGACTTTTTTTAAAAAAATTGTATTAAAATGCTGGGTATCTGAGAATAAGGAAAAGCAGTTCGGTCGTCACGCAATGACTCAGCTGTCATCGGATCAGTCACACAACTGACCTGTGATTAATGCGAGGATCGTCGCGCGTGACGAGCTTAACAAACGCTGGTGGCTTAAACAACGGTAATTACCCTTTTGATTTTGTAGTGTATGTACTTCAATTAACTTTTATCGTCTAAACCGTTTGACGCATGTTTATCCGCTCTGGGATAAACCCTATACGGATTGGCGTGGGTCATCATCGATCATGCCGCTGTCGACCACAGTGATAGGTTCCTTTCCGAAGCCTCCTTATCTAAACATCCCAGACTGGTTCAATCCGAAGAGTATGAAAGATTTTGCTGAAAAACATACGCGGTTTCTTCAAGATGAACCATCACCCGAGAGAGAAGAGTTGATCAGCAGAGCGATAAAAGAAACGTTCAACTGCAATGGGAAGCAGGACTTGATGTGATCACCGATGGAGAGATGAGGCGAGAAAATTACATTAATCATTTCTGTAGGAAGCTGAAAGGTTTTGATTTTCTCACCTTGTTTTCTAAAGAAATTCGCTCGGATGCTAGCACCATTCTTGTCCCTAGAATAATCGGAGAAGTTTTACCCGAAGAAAATCAACCCTGGGTGTGTGAGGACTGGAAAAATACACAGGATTCATTCAAGGATTTGCCCATGAAAGTTACCCTCCCGGGCCCAATGACAATTGTTGACACGGCTGCAGATCAGTACTATCATAACAGCAAGAGTTTAGGCAATGTTTTAGCAAAAATTATAAATAGGGAAATCAAGGCGCTTGAATCATCGGGCTGTAAATATATTCAGGTAAGAGATGAGTTAGTAGGGAGGGGTGGGAAACCTGAGGGGTGGAGGGGTGGATAAAAATTAGTCCATCTGTCACCAGTTTAGGGTAAAGTATCCCTTGTACAAGTGGAGGTCCATGTGAGACTGAGAATCTCGTAAATATTGAATACTCATATTGGAACTTAATTAAGGCTATGGCTGGTTCTTATAACCTGGGGAGGTTAAACAAGGTATAAATTAAATTTGTGTACTTAATAGAAACAGACAAGTGGTAAGAATATCAGCCACTCATGAGTTTCAACCCCTTATGAGTTTCTGGCACTCAGTGTAGTATTGTTGTGTATTATTCACTGATACAACACTTTCATTGAGAATTTTTTTTTTTTTTTTAAGATTGGGTGATCAATAACTCCCCACTCCACAAACTATAAAGGGAATGGGTACAAGCTTCCCAGGGGTGGGGGAGCTTACTTGGGTTAATTTTTGCTGGGTATGTGCCACTTTCCTCTCAGAACCCCTACCCCATTATAGTCTTTTCTGTGGCCAACTATAGACCCCATCTTAGTCACTTTTGGAAAATGTAATTTTCACGATCCCAACTTGGCAACTTTCTGTTTATGCATCTACTTTATAAAGCCTCTTGACCAGGTCTTCCTGAAATGAATTGACACACTGGTTAATGTGGTGAAAATCTTCCCCAATGTAAATCCCTGCCTACCTGAATTTTCTGATCCCCCAAATCTGGAAAATGTGCGATCCCATTCTAGTAACTCTAAGGAAAATGCAACCCCATTTTATTCAATCCAGGATTGAAAATGTGACCCCATCCAGTGGCACATCTTCATTAGCCTATTACTAGGAAGTACTCCCCCCTGCCCCGGGCAAGCTTCCAGCACAACAATTTCTGGGATCTCTTGAGTGAATAAAAAGAGACCACGCACTAGCAGTCTAAGTCAGAGCCAATACTCTTGGCCACTTATAAGTTGTCCAATATGTGGATAGCGCTATCCATTGGATAAATCTCTACCCAGATTGCATCTGATAAGTATTTGGAAAAGCAACAAGATTAACCAGTGCCTATGCATGGATAGAGATTTTTCCAGCAGGTAGCATTATCGAACAACTGGAACCAGACATGAGCCAGACATTGCTAAAAGCACAGTATTAAAAGGTTTTACAGTACTGTTTGCTAACTGTCAGTATATTATATAAATTCAATTTAAGTAATGTCTGATACTCGTAATGGTATAGGTGGATGAGCCTGTAATGATGCGATATCCTGACCAAGCACTAGAATATGGAATTGATCAGCTGTCGTCCTGTTTTGATGGAGTTTCAGCTCCAGATGTTGTGAAGACTGTTCATTTGTGCTGTGGTTACCCAGACTACCTGGTAAGAAAGTCTGCTAACTATAATTTTATTGTGAAGAATTCAAACAAAATTTTAGAATAGTCAGTGGTAGTCTATCCCCCATTGGAGATAACGACTGAGGGAGATTTGGTAAACAGTGTATTTGGTGAATGAATTAAATCCCCTTAGAGGCTCAGTCTCCAACCTTGGGTGTCTCGATGCACCCACGGTATGTGACAAACAAAAAGTTGGCTCGGCTAGAAGCAGTAACCTTGTGATGGTAGAGTCACCCTCTGAGTGCTTTCAACTTTTCTCCATATAAATTCTTTGGCTCACCCAGCCAATCAGAGCAGGCACGAGTGCTGTTGGTTCGAGCGACCGAAGGAGTCGACTTCTTACTCTTTTAAATGCTTCCTAAAGTTGATTCTGCTGGGAGGGTGATCCTTCTACCCTGAACAGGTTTTCTCCATGTAAACTGGACCTAAGAAGGAGCCCATAAGATAGACTGTTCACAGTCCCCTATTTTTCCGTGTGATCATCGAGATCGGGCGCGTCGTACCGTTAATGGGGGCCATCTAAGTAGATTTGATACTCTTCCCCAGGTTAGACTCGGTACAACTGAAAATCAAGATGGCCGCCATTAATGCTAAGATGCGCTCGATCTTGGATATTTTCGGGTATTTAAAGAATACCCATAAAAATCCCAAATTTGGCAAAGTGAGACAAGTCCCAGCGAGGGAATTCCCAACCAAGTTCCCTGATTGGGACTTGTCTCACTCATCCAAATTGGGATTTTTGTGGGTATTCTTTAAATACCCTAAAATATCCAAAAATGGGAATCTGTTGTTTTTTCCTGTGATCTCGACGATCTCACGGAAAAATAGGGGACTGTGAACAGTCTACCCATAAGATGTCCTGGCCTAAGATGTTGCATGAATTTGCTGTTTTCTTAGGATCAAGAGGACTACAAGAAGGCCGATAAGGACGTCTATATGAGACTGGCTGATAAGCTGGATGCTGCAGGGTTTGATGAAATCTCTATTGAGGATGCTCACAGGCACAACGACTTGTCTTTATTTAAGCATTTTAAGAAAAGCAAGGTAACTGTTTGATCGTTTGTCACTCTGGGGGTAAATGGTTTAAACCTGTTTGTCATGTCATAGGTCCTGGCATAGGATACTGGAAGGGGACTCCCTATGATGGCCTATACGGGGATGGTCTGCCCGAAAGGGGTACCTTTTTCGACTTCATGTATATGAAAGCGTAGGGATTTCATTTTTTGAAGAATATAAAAGGTAGGGAAATGTGTCGTTTTGGACTCTAAAAGTAGCTGAAAGGGCTAACAGAAGAATTTTATGGTTGTGAAAAAGTCGAGAAAATGTCCTGTTTTTGAGATTAATTATTGATATTTTATCGACAGTGCACTTACAGCGGTTAAAAGAGGTGCAAAGTTCTAAACTAGGTGTGTAAAAGGGGTACCGTTTTTTTAAAGAAAGGTATTCGTAAGTGGTGCCTTTTCACTGTAAGCAGATCGAAGTTTTTTCAGGCATGCATGATTTTTAGCATTTACGAACTGAGTCGTTCGCGTTGCTGACATTCGCTTAATCGGCTTGCTTTTTTTTTTAAAAAAAAAGCCAAGTACGTGAATGTCAGCGACGCGAACGGCCGCGAACGACAAATTATGCCGGAAAGAAACCTCTGCTAGAAGGGTAGTTCCGAGTGAGTGTAGGCCTAAAAAGGACTGTCATTAACGATGATTGACGTTTGGACAACCTGTGCAGTCAAGTCATCTTCAAGGTCAAAGTGATTGTTTGTTGAGTTATTATAAAGGGTATTTAACACTGGTTTTCACCTTATAAACAAATTAGCCGCGATGCCATTGGTTGTCTCATAGTAAAAGACCGAATATGCTATTGGCATAGGAAAGATCCCGATTTTACATCTGTTCTCACCCTGTTATTTTCAGATAAATTCTTATGATACTTTTGCAAGAACACGTGACTGAATATACTTAACTAAACATTTTAGACAGAAATTATCCTCTCAGAACACGTTTCAGAGCATCAAGATTACAAAACTTTCCGGTGGAGGATGCCCCTAGACCGCCCTCCGACTCGCGCCATCGGCGCTCTTGTGATTCGTCGGTAATTAGAAATATCCCAATCTTACGCACTCAAAAAATCATTGTTGGAGGACAGTCTGTGGTTATGAAGACTCTAATCGCAAGCGACGCATTTTAGTCCTCCGCAGTTTCCTGTTTTTTAATATCTTTTTGTGTAGTTTGTTACTCAAATTTGTCGGCTAACTTTAATTACTTGTCGTCTTTGTCGAATTTTCAAAATTCTTATATCAATGTGGTAATGTATCTTTTTACAATGTTCTTGTGAAATACATTATAGGTTATCTAATTTCCTGTAGGGAAGTTTAAAATAAAATTTTTTCGTCACAAAACAAAATTTTGTACTGTTTAGCCCCCAGTACAGTCATGCGATTTGATTTGAAACCTAAGGCGAAACCTCGAGCATCAATTATATGAAAACGCATCATCATTATCATCATCATCATCATCATCAGTTCTAAAAGCCTATGAAAAAGTTCCTTACGTTTGGGGGATCCAGATAAATTTCGTTCTTTTTATTCAACAGTCAACATGTTTAAGTTATTATTACAGTTTCTAATTTTACTAACTAAGTCAATTCTTGGCCGATTACTGCAGCCAGAAGCAGTCCATTATCCCATGAAAGGTAGATCACTTTAGCGGGGTCCTCGTCAGTCGCCTACTTTTTTTGGAACAGTAATGCGTGTTCTTGTTTGTCTTCGAATCGACAAGGAGAAATGAAGGAGCCAAGGCCAGCGGCTTAATGTCCATGCCCAATCACGTGATGATCTTAAGTCCCCTACATGATTACATGCATGATCGTACGAGATTTGAACCTCTCTATGGGCACATGAGAACGTCGTTTTGGTCTCACGTTTTCCATCAAATCGTCGGTTTTTCGACGAAATCGTCGCATATGAAGAATTGTTTGCTATGTACCGTTACTAACGAGCTCGAGCGACAACGACCAAGGAAACTAGAAGATAAAAAAAGCAAAGCAAAACAACAGAAAACTCTGAACGTGCACGACTAACCTTGTCAGTCTTGATGGGAATGGCAACGCAATCGTCGCTTTAATCTCAAAGATCTTCGTTTCATCAATAATTACGATCGTCGAGACTTTGATTTTGCCTGAAGTACCCATAGGGAGGCTGGGATTTTGGTTGGTGGTCCGGCCGGGATTATAGAACCCGCGAGCTCCGATCCCGCTCAGCAGCCTGGCGCTTTTTCAACGTATATACGGAGTGAAGTGACATTTCTTATTACCCTCTTAATCCACAGATTGTGCTTGGAAGTGTTAAGATTGCCAGTAGCCGGGTGGAAAGTGTAGAAGAGATTCGCCAACGTCTTCAGGAAGTTTTAACAGTTTTGCCACCTGAACGTTTAGTTGTTGCTCCTGACTGCGGTTTAGGGTTTCTACCCACTGAAATTGCTAGGAAGAAATAATGTAATATGGTTCAGGCGGCCAAATCGTTGCCCTAAAATTTTTGTTATTGTTAGAGGTTGAACTTTGATGATATTATTTTTGAAAATAGTATAAGTGAAAAATTTCAGATGAATAGCCATATTTGGGTTTATTTCTGTCAAGGCGTGGCTCGTTCCGTCGGAAGCACAGGTCACGTTTTTAATTGAGTTTCATAAGACTAAGCGATATATGATCATATCCGTCCAGCTAATTACAGAGGAAGCCTATCAATATTTAACATTAAGCCTCGAGGAATAACATTTTTAATATTGCGACTGGACGGAAACCTTTTCGGCAAGGTAAAAAAAATTCGACCGATATGAAATACTGAACTAAAAATAAGAACACTAAAAATACATCGCTTTTGTCACAAATTGAGACAACCGGTGTTGGTATTTTACATCGGAAAGTGTTTACTAGTCGAATGGAGTGGCTAGTTTACCGTGTTACTCTTTCACGTAGGCAGTTTTGGTTCTACTAGGGGGTGACGAAACGCAGACTATTTCTACCTTTTTAAACTTGTGCCTTTTAGTGAACTATTTCAACTCTCGCGCACCTTTTAGTGAAAAACGCATGATTTTGTGTCTGATCCCTTCTCCTTTAGTGAGTGTACGAGCACCCTTTATTATTTTTTCACCTTTAAGCGAAATAGGAAAAGAAACTCAAGATCCCTCCGGGTTAACTTCTTCTCTATAAAGGTCAAGGTTCTCTTTAGCCCTCTTTCTCTCTTCATTCTTCCATTTACAATTTACATAGAGTTGCTATTTTATACTTTTTATACGGCATGTCAGCTTATTATATTTTCTGCGATCTTATCTTGAAATAAAAAAATGTTGTCGGGCAATACTGCTACCGAAAGTTCTTTTCCCTTCCTTGTATATTGTCCTTCAGTTGAAGTTCAAATGAGGCCTTTCACTTGTACCGTTAAAGTAAAAATTCAAAAATCCAATCTTTTCTCTTCAATTGTAAGCTTTGACGATACTTCAAATGGTAGGGTTTTTTTGGCTTCTACCAGATGCATGAGTGCGAACCATTCAGATCATTCAGTAAATCCTTTGGTATACTGGGGGAGAGTTTCGGAGACCTATATGTTATTTTTACATTTCTTTACTCCTGCTGAACTGTGCGCAATGAATTCACCCCACACAAAATTAAAATTTGCTGCTTGTCTCTCTCGTTAAAGGGGGAACTTAAGCGGAATGTTTCACCCACAGTATACTTGGAATTCTGTACACTGAATACGGAAACACATCAGTACATCTTGCATTCGTAGAAGGATTAAACAACTTTTCATTCCCCGACGTCTTGCGAAACGCTTTCTAAAAAAAATGTGGTATGTACCCGTTGTACGTGATGTCTGTTGATATCGATATGAGGTAAGAATCGCCCCGATTTTGCAATTATAATCATATCTAACACACTTCAATCTATCTACACCTAATTAATCGCTCCTAATCCGTAACTGAAACATAAAGCGTTTCTTCGTAAACGGACATTCCTTTCGTACCTGGCACAGGCCTAGGCTTCGTAGTGTGAGAAACTTTGCAGTTCAACATTTTTTAGGGTTAGTTGGCCTAAAAAGGAAAACATTCCGCGGTCTTCAATGCTTACATTTACACGGACTAATGATCCGGAAATTTAGTGCTGTGAAAGGGAAACTTCATGTCTGCATAGGGTTATGGGATCCTAATGTCTAGAATTAATATGATTTCAGTTTCAGATTATAAGCGGTAAAAGTTGCTCTTCGAAAAAGTTGTTACTTCACGGCGACGAGAATGATTGAAAATGCTGCGTCATATTTGTTGTCATCATATTTTTTGGCAACCTTGTCATCGATCACCAGTGCAGCATCACCATCGGCTACAATCAACTCTCGCCTTGCGGACACCCCGATAATACGGACAGCAGCTAAATTCCAGCCAAAATAAACTACAGACGTTTGCCTGAAATAAACTCCCGCTATTATGGACTCGCGGTAATGAGGACACAATAAAGAGGGTTAACTGTATCCCTGGCGGGAGGCGGGGGTACTCCCTTATGTAAGCTATACAGGTATGTCCCCCCCCGCCCACCCCAAAGGGAATAGTTTTTGCGCCTTTACGGTCTGAATGGGTGTAGATTTTGCCCATTTTGGTCTGGAATCGGGTATGGTTTTCGTGGAAACTACGGGATTGTATGAACGTATTTGTCGTTTCAGTTGCAAATGAATCAGAAAAAAGGGTAATAAGCGCATCCGAAATGATTTTAAGAAATCTTTTTGTTTGAGCTCTGGTCTAAAAATGATGACCTAATTTCTACCTATACCAGTTCTGAAAACGGGTATGGATTTAGGAGACCCTGAAAAGAGGTGTGGAAAATAAGATTTTTCAGTCTGAAATAGCGTCAGGATTTGGAGAACCGGGCGGCACACACCCACCAAAAATTGCTAAAACTAGCCCCCTGGGACTTTGTTATGTTTGTAAACATGATCCAAATACAAAGACAATCATCTTCTTGGCAACAAGGTTCAGAGCAACCCGATAGGAAAGTCTAAGTTTATCGGAGGAACGGGAGAAATTCTCCTGACTTTGGCCAGCTAAATTTGAAATTTGGTTGACAATATCCCGCTGATAAAACGGCCTCCGGGTCTAAGATGATTCACTCTTCAGATGACTTGGATGACGAAGCAAAGTGTTTTTCATCGTCTTTTTTTGTTGGGGGGGGGGGGGGGTGAGTGGATGGCGGGGTGCTTAGGAGTTATCTGTAAAAACAAGTCCATCAGATCATAACCATTTCTGTGTTTTGCTTTATTGTTAACTGTGCAAACCTGCCGGAATACAGCCGCTCATCGCTCCTCGTCCCTGGAGACGTTTTGAGGCAAGATTTCCCCGGGACGACAAGTGGAAAGCCGGCTGTATCGCAACCGGCAAAAATCTAAATCCAGAGCTCATTCGAGCCCGGTTGTACCTACATTACTAAGCCTGCATCTACATTTTGTAATACTACTTCTAAGTAACACACAAAAGCAGATTTAAATCACGAGAAAATTATAGAACCTTAGGAATCAAAAGGGTAAAAATGGTTGCTTGATGTTGCAGTTGTTACACATTCACTGCCGTGTTTCCTGCAGGAGACTGAATTTTACCTTCTTACTGCTATTTTGATGTGATGACGTGTGTCATTTAGTTAGTTACACCAAAGTATTAGATATCCCTCTCTATTTTCTCTTACATGTATTTTTAAAAATACGAAAAAAAAAAATAGAGCGCGCGCAGTTTGCAGTAAAAGTGGCGGTGACCGATCTGTAGAAGACTGGCGGATGGCAGGAGGCGCGAATGGTCAAGTTGTAGCTGTTTTTCACAGCGGTGAGTTTTCTTTCTCTTTTACGCCTAGTTATTATTTTGGGAATAGTTTTCAATAAGAAAATTAAGTGGCTGAGGTGTATATACAAGAAGCCGAGTTGTTATCTTGGATTATTCCAACATAAGACTTCGAAAAGGCTGGTCAGCTACTAGTTTCCCCCGAAGTCGTTTTTTGGATGTCACGCAACGGTGTTTGGGGGAACGTTGTGTCCCATCCAAAAAACGGCTGCGAGGGAGAGCTACAGAAGCCAAACGTAAAACAACGATGACTTCAGCGCGACAGGGTGGCGTGAGAGCAGACAGTATTCCCACGCAGACAGTTTTAATAACATGACAGTTTCTTTGAGATCCAACACGCTTAAGTTGGCGATAGGAAATCGTTTGTATATCTTACTTCTATTTCTGGGGAATTACTTTTTATTTAGAACACCAGAAAGAGCTGAATCCAATAAACCGGAACCGCGCAAAGGACCTTAACTGCACCGGAAGTTGCCCTCTGTAAAGTTGCGTAATTTGCCGCGCCTTTGTATCGGGTTCCACGGTAGTAGTAACTACGCTTGGCCGGCCCACTGTAAACAAAACTGGAACAAAAGTGATATTTGAGTTATGGAGATTGTAAGTTTGAAACTTCCGATACTCCAGAGACGGGGATTGAAAACTTGATTTCACTCTGTCTTGCAATGCCGATTTTCTCAGAAATCGAAAAACTGTTTATTCGAATTATTCAAATGTCACCTCCCCTTTGGCTTATCCTTAACCTAAATGTAAGGTTCTATTCTTAGTAATGGTTTTTTGGAAATTGGGGTCCTTCAGTCAGCTGTCACATGTTTTTAGACTTTTCACTGTTTAATGCTACAATATTTCACTGAAATTCAGATAATATCCTAGAGTATAATAGGTAGATCCGTGCAACTGTTCTGGCATTTTCCGAAATATCAGTGTTATTGATGGATACAAGTTACACCTTTCTTTGGAGCGATCCGATAGTGCCAGTAAACAACATTCTTACATAAGTTGAATGTTTACGTCTAAAAAGGTCAGTGATATTTGTCTATTATGTCACGCGCGATACTGAGCGGAAATACGTAACATCGCTCCAGCCCACGCACGCCACCTCAAGCTCATATATAGTGAGTCTTCGTTCTTTGATAGATGATCTATTACTCGCAGACTACTAGAGATCGAGTGTTAAAGAAAAGCATTTTAACGACATGAAGAACGTGTTCTTCTTAGCTGGTTTGCTCATGGCGACGTTGCTAGCGCAGTCTTGTGAGGGCTCTATGATTCCAGAGCATCCACAGACTGCTTTTTGCAAGGCAGATTTTGGTACGTTTATTATCCTTAGCAACTTGATACCTCCTGTTTTAGATATATTTGTTTCGTTTTACTATAGTCAACGTCTCTAATTTTAAGAGATTTTGATTAGTTTGTACTCTAAAAACACTAAAGAACAGTGTTCAATCATTTTTTTTCTTGAGATTCCGAAATGGGCTTCTTCGTGCATAACAATTTCGTAAAGTTCTAGAAGCATATGGAATAGTAATAGCAACATGTATTCTTTAGCGGCTGGCTCATAGTATTCCGCACTAATCTTAGTCGACTTAACACAATGGGAACTTATTCGTTAAGTAAACTGTCTTTGTAACGTTAGACAATAGAGGGATTATGAGTGGATTTTTTCCTTTTTTGCGATATTCGTTGGATGCTTCGTTTGACAAGTTTGACGTTTCAGCCACAGCACAGAGCTCAACGTGAGCTGTATCAACCTTTTAGGCCAGAGTTAATTTGCTCTTTGAGCTCTTTCGCTTTTTTAAAATCAGAATTAACTCCTTGAGATTCCTTTTACCAGTAATTATTAGAGTTTCTCTCCAATTTTCCGCCATTTCACGAAACAAACCCTGCGGTTATATTAATTTGTGCCCGCACCGTGGGAGAACATTGGACTTCCTGTCTTGTCAAAGGCCTCCTTGTCGTTCTTAATCAGTTACATGCGCAGTACCAACAAGTTCTTAGCGGAAGGCGAATGCTTGATGTGCGTGGTACACTGAATTGAAAAAGCAACGCAGGAAGAAATAATAGCAACACGGAAAGAAAAACAAAGAGATTGACAACAACATTAATGAGCTGACGAAGGTCACGTCTTGCCCTGCTGTGAATATCATAACACTGGATTTCCGCGCCGGCGTAAAAGTATTAAACAAGTAAACGAGAAGTGAACGAAGATAATATATTTTGGCAAACCTACAACTATTCTTGTCTTACGGGGAAACGGATTTATCTGCGACTGAATAAGTTCCGTCCCTCTCAAAAAGTAAATATGCAAGGTTCGGTTGTAACAGGAAAGCTTATTTCTCATCTATTTTTTCCGTAACGGATTTTCCTCAGTAATCTTGTAATTTCTGGATGATTCTTCTACTGTGCAGCTGTAAAAAATGGAAACTTTGCACCCTGGATGTTTTCTCGCGCTTTGCTTTGCACGCAACGCGCGAATGGAGTAAAAGGAAGATACAAGCGGCTTTTTCGTTCTTTCTTCACGAACGTCGGACGTTTTCAAAGACTGGCTTATAGGCAGTCTTCAGGCTAAAAAATGCGCGTAGAGTAAGACGATTTACATTTCGGGAGATTTCTATTTCCCCTGATCTGAATTGGAAAGACGTAACTAAGGAATTTAAGGCACGACACGCTTAATTTGTATTAGAGTAACTTAACTGAGTTTTTCACAAAACTTAAGTTTCTAAAGCGGAGAATGTATATGGAAAGAAAAATATTCCTCTTCTTTTACAGGCCAGCACCCTTGTTACCCGGCCGTCGATAAAACCCGGAACACGGAACATTCCGGAACATGCCGGAACATTCCGGAACATCCCGGAACATCCCGGAACATGAAAAAATAAAAATAATTTTCATGAAAAACAATATAATGAAATAATAATAATAATGTAATTTTTGTAAAAATTAATAATAACGTAAAATAACAAAAGAAAAACGAAAAATAATCAATTAATCAAGAAAAAGAAACTGATACCCTTTGTGAGTATGAGAAAACAATATTTTGTCGCAACAAATTAAATTTTGTTGGGCGAGTGAGGGTTCATGCAAATGACAGTAACGAGTGAAGGTTTGCTTCTAAATTCAAAATATATTAAAATGGGTCGCGAGGAGGGGGGGTTTTTAAGCTTTCCTCACACAGTTACCTTTTGTAATTGTTTGCCGTGAGTTAATTATTTGGCGGTTATCCATTTACGGTTCTGCAATGGTCTGAAATGTCGGTGCAGTATTTCATGTCAAGCCAAGTCGGTAAGTAGCTCATTTCAAGCCAACATATAGTCTCCTTATTTATAACCGACATTTGCTTACCTGAGGTGCTTTGCTTTCTTTGAACATGAATTACTTACAGACTAGGCGGCTCTGTGAACTTAAAGAAGAGTATAGGGGCTCCTGTCTTTGGATTTTAGTGGACAATACTCACATTCGTAGTAGTTTCTATACTGTTTACAGTCAGCATGATATTTCAGACATCTCCTCTAGTCGCAGGAGGAGTTTGGGGGGAGACGGCTAAAATTCAGGCTAACTGATAACAGTTAGAAACTACCGCTGCGCTACCACTGCCACCGCAACTATTCACGGTGAATCTGAATCTTTAATTTAATTATCCAAGTCCAAAGCGACAAGCCCCTAAGCTCTTCTTTCGGTCGCAAAGCCGTAAATGGATAACCGTTAAACCACATGGCAAACCTTTACAAGAGGTGGCTGTGTGACGAAAGCCTGAAAACCCTCTCCTCGCGACCCATTTTAATATATTTTGAATTAAGAAGCAAGCCTTCACTCATTAGGGTGACCAGGGTGAGTAGGATGACTGGGGACTGTCATTTGAATGGACCCTTACTCGCCCACTGCAAAAAATTCATTGCAACAAAATATTGTTTTCTCATACTCGGAGATGATACCAGTTTCTTTTTCTTTCTTTCTTGGTTTGTTTCTTTATTTTTCGTTTTTATGTTATGGTTATTTATTTTGTTATTATAAATTTTTGCAAAAATTGTTTTCTATCTATTGTTCCTTTTATTATTTATTATTATTATTATTATTTAGTTAATTAATCATTTTTTCATAAAAAAATATTTTAATTTTTTCATGTTCCGGGATGTTCCGGGATGTTCCGGAATGTTCCGGGATGTTCCATGTTCCGGGTTTTATCGACGGCCCTTGTTACCCGCCTCCAATAAATTGTCTTGTGTCTGCCTGACACTGTATAAACTTAAAAACATGCTTTAGTAGCATATCGCCTTTTACGACGGATATTTCTATTTGTTTAACTAGAGCCATTCTTAGCTAACAAGTTATGGTCGGCTTACTGAAATGAAGAAGCGAGCGATAAAACATGATTATTAGAGTCATTTTAACCTCTCTTTTTCTTTTTTATCTCTACAGTTGTTAGAGTAAAAATCCTTGGTAAAGTTAAGAAAGATATAAGGACGCCACCACCTGCAATAGTCCTTGGTGATTCCTTCATCAATTCACCATCCGTGCCGACTTCTCCAGACAACGCGGATGACTCTTCTACAGAGGACTCAACTACCCCACCCGTGGGAAAGAAAAGTTCTATACCTCTAAGCTTTCAAAAGCCTGTTGATATGCCACCTGGTGAAGACATTACTGAGAAACCGTCCGTAAAGCCTTCGATGTCTGTACTTCACTCACTACTAGGCCGACACAGACGAAGTTTAGGGCTTGGAATACGTGGTGCCCCACCCCCTCCCCCAGCGTCCAACCTCTACAATCGCCCTTTCAGCAGACGGGGTAGGGATAAGGGAATGATGTATTACGACGTCCTAATCAAGAAAGTATTCAAGGGTGGTGATAACGTGCGAAATACAAAAGGAACATTTATCGATGCTGCTAACCCAAGGAGATTTTTCGCCAGAATCTACTTTTCCCCTTATCATGGTCAGGAATTGGAGGCTGGTGTTGCGTATATGCTTTCCGGCAAAATCATGAATAACGAGCTGCTTCTTCCCAACAGCGGGTGCTGGATGGAGAAGTGGGAAGATCTGTCTAAAGAAGAAAAACACGGTCTTCACGGAAAATACGCAGAAAACTGCGATTGCAGGATCCGGTTTTGCGTACCAGGCTTCTGTGACAGGTTGCAGGCCTTTCCACTTCCTTCCCAATGTGCTTGGGAATTACGTAACTTCCGGGAGCCGTCAAGGGATTGTGGAGCAAGGCATAACTTGTGTATCAAACATCAAAACGAGTGCAATTGGACAGTTGGCAAAGGATTTGACTCGTGTTTAAATCCAGCAGTGTTCCCTTAATCTTCTCCCTCCTCAAGAGTAGACCATATTTAGGCCTTGATTTCCTCTTTTTTAAGGGAAATCAGCGACTAACCTGTAGTCTATGACGAGAGGGACCTATTTACAAAGTTAAGAATGAAGAAACCTTTTGTCGATAGCCTTCAGTTGAATGATGTTTGCTCTCTAGGGGTTAATCTCAAGAATCCATAGGTAAAGCCTTGATGTATGCTTCGTAAAGGACCAGATCTGCCAATCTTGGGCTTCCTTGTTACCTGTCAAAAATTAGTAGTTTTCTTTCACTTTAGAGTCATCTTGTAAAACTGAATAAAACTGCAGATGAGTAAGGTACGACAGTTGCCAACAATTTACTTTTGCATTTTGCTCTTGATATATTTTTTGTAGCAGCGCGACTTTCAATTCTGTAAATGATTCCGCTACGCAGTTTGACAATAGCTGAAATAACGCTTGAATTACACAAGCACAAAAACAAAAGGAATTTGAGGAGTTTATGTTTGGAACAATATAGAAGTGTGTAATAAATTTAGGACAGATTTTGTATAATTTGAATTAATTTTGTAATGAAGGTTGTAAATAGATACCGTTTTGTAAAGAAATAGAAAACGCCGTAAATGGGTTTTACAGCGGTGAGAAATATAAATATGCTCTGACTCGGAAAGGTGAGCGAAAAAATGCATATTAAGAGATTCCATTAATTGAGGTGACTTGAGAAATTTGAAAAGAAAAAGAAGTTCAGACGGTGCAAAAATACAGTCGGTGATTATTTAATAAGCAAGTGATTTAATGGGTGTGATTATAAAACTCGGCAATCAAGGAAAACAGTTGAATTGCGTTTGGCTCTATGTCAGTCAGGCATTAATTGAAGTTTGAGTATGAAAATAAAAGCCGTTAACAGTTAACATGAGGACTGCGTATTAATTAATTTTAGCGTGTTCTTACCCCCTTCCCCACAATTAATTCTCTACCACAATGAAGTTAGCCTGCAAACGCAGCCGTATATCCGTTTCAGTCTCAACAGCCACGCAAGAGAAAAATTATATGATACTTTTAAATATCCGAACTTTACTAATCTAAACGCAATAGATAAAACATTAGGTTTCTTTTCAATGTTGTAGACCCTTTCATTTGTAATTAAATTATATTATTTCATTTTTGAAGGATTCCAGAGAAGAAAATTTAATAAGACTTCGTAAATTATCGTTCTTGATGTTCTTCCGTTTGTCACCGCATGATCATTTTGTTACCGCTGACTCGAGCTCTGAAGGGAAACGGAAAACAGTTCGAGTTTAAGCGAAGTAGCCTGTGTACAGCCGCCCCTCACGTTTCCCTCACCTCAAAAAAAATCGGATTTTTTGAGGTGAGGGGCGGCTGTACACAGGCTAAAGCGAAGGTTCGAGTCATCGGGTTCGATTGCAAAATTCAATTTGCCATCTTAAAATTGATAGTTACTGATTTTTCAGCAATTCAGTGTATAGTCTAATGCAAATCTAACTTATTTCACCAGAAACGGTAAAATTATGAACCATTTTTAGTGATAAAACGTGATCTGTTCGTTGCACTGTCAATTAAAATCAAATTGCTGTGTTTACAGTAGCGTTGACTAGCGTTATTAGTCAACAAGAGGAATCAATGAAATGGCTGATCCGAGTGGAGTCACATTGGTGAATGTGTGATCAGGTAGCCTCCCACGCAGGGGTTTTTAGGGGAGCTTGTTTTTCATCCCTCAGTCACCACAAACGAGTTCCCCTGAACATGAAAATGACTGAAGGATGGGGTGAAATCCAAGGGAAATTGGACGTAGTTCGAGTTAGCAGGGTTCTACTGTATTATTTTTCCTTGCAAATTGTTGTCGTTTCCGGTTATGGTTTGATTTCCATCCCAGCGTGTGAAACAAAAGCCGAAAAAGGCGACTGCTCTGTTAAGTTTTGTACTTCTCAAGAAAAATTTTACTACAAGTTTATATCTTTTTCTATCAAGATACATCATTTATGAAATTTCGATCAAATGTGCCACCTTACCCTGGAAGATTAACCCTGAAAGTCTTTTCATGCGCACGCGGTTTCCGCCTTCCGGTTGTAGTCAGCGCACGTTCACTGGCGTCCAGGTTGTGCATTTGATCTGATAACTGCATGCGCTTTTCACAAACATGCGAATTCTGAAGTTCAAAAGCCGCCTTCACAATTGCGTTTTTTCGCTGCCGTCAATTATCTTAACGGACCTCTTAGAAAACAAAACTTTACTATAACGGGTTCAAAAGGTCATGGTTTGTGATTTGTGATTGGTGGATTTCGATCCATTTTGTGTGTTTGTGTGTTTCAAGGTTCGTTGCTTGTGATCGTAATTATGATTGACGGCAGCGAAAAACGCAATTGTGAAGGCGGCTTTTGAACTTTAGAGTTCGCATGTTTGTGGAAATCGCAGTAAAGGAGGGGTCAATGAAAATCGCTCTCGGTTATGGGCTCCTGCTCTGTTAGAGTTCGAGTTCTCGCAAAATGCGCCGTACTCGCTTCTTTTGGTTGATTAGCCTGTTAGCAAGCTCTCGTATTTGGGCAAGCGAAGCGAGCCTCGCGAGAACGCGTCTGCACCTCGCGGCTTCGCCGCTCGCTCGCGCGTTCCTCCTAGACTCGTTTCACTCGCCCAAACAAACAGGAGAGCTTGCTCGCGGGCTATTGGTTGATTTATTTTCGCGCGAAAAAGAATGTGCGGCGGCACTTGGCGGCACCGTGATTGCTTTCTGTTTTGGCGGGAAACAACCAAGTCCTGCAGTCCGTCAAAACAAAATTTGACAAGATGTCTGGTACGAGTAAGATTATATTTCTTTCTGCTGTTATTTCTTTTGTTTCAGCGCTTCTTCAGACACTGCCCAGCAATGCATTTATTTATAGCGAGGAAAAGAGAATGGTGGAAGCTGTATTATTCACCGACAAGTTGTCCCAATTTCACGAACCGTACAATTTGTTGCACCTCAAAGATGCGCACATGGCCATTCACTGCCAGTTGAGAAATCGAAGCTGGGATACTAAAAGCTCTCGAAATGCGTTGGTAAAGCTTTATTCACGACAAGGTATGTCTCCTACGGTCACTTTTGTAACTTTAGACTGGTCAAAGTCTTACAAAATCGAAGATCTCGTCGAGGACGATAGCGTTTATTGGACACTGAACATTTCAAAACACGAACTACTCGAGCACAGCAAGGGAACGAGCAACGGAAAAGAACCGTGGACGTACAAAGTTGAACTTGGGCTGAATCTCAACTTGTTTGAGTCTTGGGGAACGGTTGTCATCCCAGACATAGAGCCTCTTCTTTCTGTGCAGTTTGGCGATGATGTTACCGAAAATATCGCAGTTTCACCGCCAAACAAGGCTCTATTTTGGCAGCATCCTTGCACCTCTGGGATAGCAATCTTTGTGCCGTTACATGGAAGCGAGCAATCTTTTACAGGTAAGCTGTACTGGTCATAATTTTGGGTGTTCCGCTGGGGGCATTTCTTGAAAATAATACGAGGAATAATCTTTCTCCAAAACGGCCGATGAGGGTGCTGTCTCAAAGTCTAGGCCATGAAATAGGGAGTTCAAGGGCTCCCAATAGCTAGCACTTTGGGATTCCGGAGTGACCAATCTGGCTCTGGGTTTTTTAGATCACAGGAGGCAAGAATTTTGTTTGAAACCTTTGGTTTGAAATTCTGCAGACAGGGGAATTCACATGTTTGGTCCCAAAATTGTTCCAAATGTGATTTCAAAAGGTGCTTACCAATCTGTATAGAAAAATCTAGATAGGTAACCAAATGTTAAGTTCAAAGATTTGAAATGTAGCCATCACTGCAGTTTCTGCTCAATATTTCTTGGCATATTTTAAAACATTGTTTCAAAATGTAAGCTTTCATGACTGCTATTCCTGTATCAGGATGCTATCTGGCAGTTACTTTTGGAAGGTTTGCAGAAAACACTACTCACTGGTATGATCTTCTTCACCGTTCGGCACAACAACCAGATGTATACTCCATCTGTAAGGAGGCATCATTTGAAAGCTGCGAAGGATTGACAATCTTAGACTTTACAGTGGTGGATGGATGCCTTTTATTAGTTACTACCAAGGGCTTAATAAAGTCAGAGTCGTTCGAGATGGCCACAAAAGGAGTTAATAAAACAAAGGTACCATAACATGTGCATGCATTCAGTTTCCCTCGATCTGACTTAAAGGTACTTCATAGTATAGGTATTAAAGATTATTTTTAAAATGAGAGCTATAACTTAATTTTTTGAAGTTAGCATTTTTACCCATCATGATTATTATTGCTGTCATCATCTTCATTGTTTGTAGTAACCAACTGCTTTACTTGAGTGAAAGATGTGTGCCTGAGGTATCTAGGGTAGCTTTTGCTGTACTTGGCATGCCAATGCTTGCAAGCAGTTTTGAGCCTCCACTGCAGGAACCCATCACACATTACCGTGGAAGGCAAAAATAAGTAGACGGGTGGGTGTAGGATTAGGGAATGCTAATACAAAACTGCTGGAAGGCTGTAGAACCAGTTCTTTCAGCCAACTGATATGAAACAGATCTGAACGGTTGGAAATTTTTATACCGGCAAGTACCATAATTGCAATGCGAAGTAGTAACACTGTATGTGATTCTAGCTTTTCTAGTGGGTTAATTAGGTCACTGACTGGAAGAGGCCATTAAGCTTGTGCTGGCTATGGTAACTTGTATAGATGTTTAAACTTAATGTGAAAAGTTTTTGTCAGTTACAAAAACACATAATTCATACGGGAACAAGAACTCTCAACCATAAGATTTATAGTGAGAACATCTTGAGCCTGAGGAAAAGGGAGCACTGCTATATTTTCAACAATAACAAAATTAAACTGTTTTTATTATTTTAGGTGAAGTTTTACCAAGTGGCCAACATCCACGCTGTTCTTGATGAAGCCTTTAAACAGGGAACAGCAAAGTATGGAAACATTAAGCTGCACTACACATCTCAGTGTGACAGCCATGAACTGCC